GGATTTATCGTCCACAAGTCTCTCGTTAACAACGTTGTAAAGATCGGGAGTGTGTCGACGAGGGTTGCGTACCTTATACTCAGAATCACCAAACGGTATTCGTTGAAGGTCATACAGGTTTACGCACCAACCTCGGCACACCCCGATGAGGAGGTGGAGGAAATGTATGAGGATATCTCTAGAGCCATGCATTCCTCCAAAACCCAATATACGGTGTTAATGGGAGACTTCAATGCAAAACTAGGCACAAGAGAGAACGGTGAGCTGAAAGTAGGCAAATTTGGAATAGGGCAACGGAACCCAAGGGGCCAGCAGCTGGCCGACTTCATGGAGAAAGAGGGACTCTTTATGATGAACTCTTTCTTCCAGAAGCGGTCCCACAGGAAGTGGACCTGGTCGAGCCCCGACGGTTCGACCAAAAATGAGATTGACTTCATTATGACGACCAGACGACAACTGTTCAGTGATGTCTCCGTGATCGCGAGGGTGAAAACTGGTAGCGATCACCGAATGGTTAGAGGCACACTGAACCTAAACGTTAAGTTGGAGAGGTCTCGTCTAATGAAGTCAACGCTCCGTCCCACTCGTGCTCTGTTCCAAAGTCCCGAAACCTTTCAGCTCGAGTTACAAAACCGTTTTCAGTGCCTAGAAGACTGCAATGAAGTGGACGATATGAATGACAAGCTCGTGGAAACTGTCCATGCGGTCGGAGCTAAGTTCTGCAAGACCCACCGCAGAAGAACACAAAAACTCTCCGATCACACTCTTAATCTCATGGCTGTTAGACGGGAGATGAAGCTACATTCTTCAACAGACTTGACAGCATACAGGCATCTGAACAGACAGATCTCCAAATGCATGCGGCGGGACTTACGCAACTTCAATACAGCTCGTATTGAAGAAGCGATCGAGCGGAACCAAGGCTCCAAAGTCATTGCCAGAGATCTGTCTGCCAAAAAGAGCCAACTGTCAAAGCTGAAGACAGAATGTGGCAGCATCGTTTCCGGGACACCTGAGATTTTGAGTGAGATTGAGAGGTTCTATGGGCAGCTGTACACGTCATCGTTGGAGCCACACGCAAGTGTAACGATCCAAGAGCGAGTCTCATCCGACACTATTCCGAAGATATCCCGGATGTCAGTCTGAGCGAGATTAGAATGGCTCTCCAGCACCTTAAAAATGGTAAGGCCCCAGGCGAGGATGGAATTACAGCGGAGCTTCTGAAAGCGGGTGGAAGACCGGTACTTGAAGTCCTTCAGAAGCTCTTTAATTCCGTCCTCCATGGTGGCATTACACCGGAGGCGTGGAGCAGAAGTGTGGTGGTCTTGTTCTTCAAGAAAGGTGACAACGCTCTCTTGAAGAACTACAGACCGATTTCCCTTCTGAGCCGCGTCTACGTGCTGTTTTCGAGAGTCATTACGAATCATCTCGCGCGCAGGCTTGACGACTTCCAGCCTCCCGAACAAGCCGGTTTCCGAAAGGGCTTTAGCACCATAGACCACATACCTTTCCCTTCGGCAAATTGTACAGAAGTCCGAAGAGTACAATTTGCCACTATGTCTGGCGTATGTGGACTATGAGAAAGCCTTTGATTCCGTCGAAATTTGGGCGGTGCTGCAGTCCCTTCAGCGGTGCCAAGTTGACTGTCGATATATCGAAGTGTTGAAGTGCTTGTACAGTAGGGCTACGATGGCTATCCGAGTACAGAACCAGAGTACGAAACCTATCCAATTGCAGAGAGGTGTAAGACAGGGTGACGTCATATCCCCGAAACTCTTCACCACTGTATTGGAAGACGTTTTCAAGCTTCTGGACTGGAAAGGATACGGTATCAACATCAATGGCGAGTACATCACTCACCTTCGATTTGCCGACGATATAGTCCTTATGGCAGAATCGCTGGAGGACCTAAGCACTATGCTCAATGACCTCAATAGTGTTTCCCAACGGATAGGTCTTAAGATGAACATGGACAAAACAAAGATCATGTTTAATGTCCATGTTACACCTATGCCGGTAGTAGTTGGGAGCACTAAGCTCGAAGTTGTTGACGAGTATGTTTACCTGGGACAAATAGTCCGACTAGGTAAGTCCAACTTCGACCGAGAGGTCAATCGACGGATTCAACTCGGCTGGGCAGCGTTCGGGAAGCTACGACACATCTTCTCGTCAGACATACCTCAAAACCTGAAAACGAAATTGTACAACCAGTGCGTGTTGCCAGTGATGACTTACGGAACTGAGACGTGGTCCTTCACTGCTGGCCGTATGAGGAAGCTCAAGGTCGCTCAGCGAGCTATGGAGAGGGCTATGCTCGGAGTTTCTCTGCGTGATAAACTTAGGAATGAGGATATCCGCAGTAGAACCAGAGTAACCGACATAGCCCAACGGATTAGTAAGCTGAAGTGGCAATGGGCCGGCCATATAGCTCGAAGAACCGACAACCGATGGGGAAGAAAGGTTCTCGAGTGGCAGCCTCGTACCGGTAGGCGAAGTGTAGGGCGTCCCCCTACGAGATGGAGTGACGACCTGGTAAGACATGCAGGAAGTCGATGGATGCAGGTGGCTCAGGACCGTGCTTTGTGGCATTCTTTGGGGGAGGCCTATGTTCAGCAGTGGACTTGTGAAGGGCTGTAATGGTGAAAAAAATTATAATATCTGAAAGGTCAGAAATTGGTCATAAAAGGTCAGTCGGTCTCATTAATTGGTCAGCGTTAGAATTTTTTTTATTAAGTGTTAAAGTTTTCAAGGTCATTGAGAAATTTTAGCCAGGAATAGCGGGGCTGCCGGGGACTGGGGGCCGTCTGTATGTTGCTCTAATCATTGGGGGGTATTTGCCATAGTTGCCACGCTTGGCGAGCGGGTTGGCCACCGCAGTTTTTTATTGTAATTTTGGCTATTATCAGGAAGATGCTGCTGCCCATCTTCTGCCTGTTTCCCTTTATCTCCTTTTACGACACCCACGGGAAGATATGGGATAGTGGATATTCTTTTTGTGGATATTTATTTTTTCTTGACCGCCACTACACGGCAACAAAAACACAATTGTTAAAAATTTTGCCTGTCTGTCTATCTGCCTGTCTGTCTGTCTGTTTGTTCCGGCTAATCTCCGAAACGGCTGGACCGATTTCGACGGGACTTTCACTGGTAGATATCTGATGTTATAGGGAGTAACTTAGGCTTCTTATATTTTACAAAAAAGAGGTTTAGGTTCCGCGCAACATAATTAAAACCCTTAATACGTGGGCGAAGTCGCGGGGAACAGTTAGTTTTTAATATAACACGTTTTTTTTTATATTCTTACATTTCAGATTCTGAGCTGTCTCTAGTTCATCGGGAAGTGTTTAAAATCAAGTACTAAATTCGACCCGAATAAAGTTATACGAAAGCGAGTAAATAAAAATGTGGTAAAATGTATCTCCATATTAAATTTAATAATTTATTTTATTTAACAGTTATGAAGGCAGACAATCTTTAAATTATTAAATTGAAATATTCATAAAACGAACGTGAATTAAAAAACAAACATTTATACACCCGTTTGATCGAAGTTTTACCAACAGAGTCATAACACCTAATGCAAACTTCACATAACTTTTGTTTGCTTTTAAAAAGTTCATAGAGTGAGCCGCAGTGTTGAACGTAGTCACACCACGCACACCTCATTTTCTAAATGGAGTAAAACTTCTAATTCGTAAACAATTTTCTACTATTTAATTTTGTGATCTTTTTCTATATTTGCTCGTAACAGTTCACTGCTCACGTGGTAGAGTCATGCTCCAGGTATATTATGGTTGTAGCAAGAATGGATCGGCTCAACCGGGGAATAACCACGCTCTCACAGAAAACTAGCAGCTTAATGTTGCTGTGTTTCGTGTGGTAGGTGTAGAGAATCGGAGACCCCTTTTACTGGATAAGAGGCATACTATCTTTGTCCTTAGGTGTGACAACACATCAGATTACAGCCATGGTTTGGTCGCTCCTTTAAAATAGCATCACGCTATAAGCAAGAGTGCTATCGGGTCTGCGCTGACGCATCAATGTCTCGGGATGTAAACACCAGAACTATTAGGTCCTTCATAAGAGTCATTGCCAAGGCAAGGTCTGAGCACATCGGCGGAATGGGCGTGAAGCTAGTTCACCTTTCTTCGGGAACCCGTGGATTCTAGTCTCTCGCTAAGACTGTCCAAGGGAACTTCTGTCAGGCATCTCTTCTATCTCTGCACAGAGAGGACGACTCACCGGCCCATGCCGCAAAGGAGAAAGCCAATCTGTTAGACTCTCTCGGTGCAACTCGACTCTGGATGACGGGGTGAACACACCGCCGACCATCCCGCGGTGTGAGTGCTCCATGCCGGATGTGCGGTTTACACAGCGCTCGGTTCGCAAAGCACTCCTCTCCCTGGACGTCAGCATGTCAAGTGAGCTTAATGGAATCCCTCCCATTGTGCTGAAGACGTGTGTTCCGGAGTTGGCACGGGTTTTAACGCGTCTTTTCCGATATTCCTACTCCCAAGGCGTAGTCCCGAATTCATGGAAAACAGCTTTGGTCCACCCATACCTAAATAAGGTGACCGCTCAGATCCGTCCAACTACAGGCTTATCGCCATCACCTCCTTGTTCTTCAAAATACTGGAGTCCATTATAAAATGCCCATTCAGAGGTACCTTGAGGATCACCAGCTGATTAGTGGCCGCAAATAGGGTTTTTGTCGGGACAATCAGCTGGTGATCTTCTAGTCTACCTGACTCATAGTTGGGTGGAGGCAGTAGAGTCCAAGGGGGAGGCATTGGCCGTTAGTTTGGACATACCGAAGGCCTTCGATCGGGTCTGACACAAAGCGCTTCTTTCGAAATTCTCTACCTATGGGCTTCCCATAGAATTGGAACCAATAGGCGAATGTTCGTATAGAGGGCAAACTAACGTATGACTCGGAAATCTTACGTGGAGTACGGCAGGGATGTATTCTCTCGCCAATTCTCCTCAACATTTACTCAGAGATGATTTTCCGTGAAGCATTGGGTCCGGTGGATGTAGGTATCACAGTGAATGGTCAGATTATTAACAATATCGGTTATGCCGATGACACTGTACTTATTGCATCTACAATGGAAGAACTTCAGGTCCTTATAGATAACATTCAATATGTTAGTTTAGTGTATGCCCTCAGTATCAACACCAGGAAAACCAAATATATGACGGTTTGTAAAACACCACCTGCTAACCCTTCTCTACTATGTAATGGACAGCCTCTACAAAAAGTTAGCAAATACAAATATTTGGGATGCTGGGTTGATGATACGGCAGACCACAGTCTTGAAATAAGGTGCCGCATAGAACAAGCCCGTAATGCTTTCTTTAAGGTAAAGTCACTTCTGTGCAATAAAAAGCTGAACATCCAGATACGAGTACGATTAGCACGATGTTATGTTTTCTCCATTCTTTTGTATGGCGTTGAAGCATGGATCCTCACAGAATCGAGCTGTCAGAAGATTGAAGCTTCCGAATTGTGGGTATACAGAAGAATGTTAAGGATATCCTGGAGAGACAAAATAAAGAACATAACCGTGCTAAGACGCATAAAGAAAACCCCAGAAGTTGTATATTTAGTAAAGAAAAGAAAGCTTGAATATATCGGCCACATAATGAGAAACCGAAAATACGATTTACTACAATTCATCATACAGGGCAAGATCCAAGGAAAACAAAGTGTGGGTCGAAGAAGAACATCTTGGCTGAAAAACCTACGCCAAAGGTTTGGAAAGAGCACCCGTTCCTTATTCAGAGCCGCGGCATCAAAGATTCAAGTTGACTTAATGATCGCCGACCTTCAAAAGAAGATGGCACTTTAAGAAGAAGAAGATGTATGTTAGATGAGATACTGTTAAATACTATGTATACATACTAAGTCCCTAATGGAGACATGGAAATTTATTTATTCTTAGAAATTATAATTATACAAAATTAACACATCATAATTATAAAAAATCAATAATTATTAAATCATTAATTAGCAACAACAAACAATCCATCCAATAATATTCTAAAGATATCGAAAGTACAAATACAGAAAAAATATAATTAACAAATAAAAAAATTTAAATTAAACAATATTATATGCCATGTCACTTAATAACAGAAAATATCAATTGTCCTGGGAAGAACCAGCAAGAAACCCAGCGGGACTATTTTTTCAAACATATTTCACTTAACAATAATTTCGTTTATACAATTTTTAAATGATTTTTCATAGAACCAGCATGGTGGCGATCACCTTATTCCCATTTTCATTCATGTATTCCTTGATATTATAATAACCCTTTTTGTACAGTTTTTCTTTAATAAACCTTTTAAACTTGTTTATTAACAAACTTTGAATATGTTCTGGGATTTTGTTGTAAAAAAGGACACAAAGTTTTCTTGCTGCTGCTTTTGCCCAGCCGAGTTGAATCCGTCGATTGACCTCTCGCTCGAAGTTGGACTTGCCTAGTCGGACTATTTGTCCCAGGTAAACATACTCGTCAACATTTTAGTGCTCCCAATATCTACCGGCATTGGTGTGTCATGGATGTTACACATGATTTTTGTTTTGTCCATGTTCATCTTAAGACCAATCCGTTGGGAGACACTATTGAAGTCATTGAGCATAGTGCACCGCACTTCTGCCCCACGCCTCTGGAGTAGTACTACCATGGAGGACGGAATTAAAAAGCTTCTGAAGGACTTCAAGTACCGGTTTTCCACCCGCTTTCAGAAGCTCCGCTGTAACACCATCCTCACCTGAGGCCTTGCCGTTTTTAAGATGCTGGAGAGCCATTCTTATCTCGCTCAGACTGACGTCCGGAAAATCTTCGGAATAGTGTTAATTAATATTATTTATATACAGCCATAATTTAAAAAAAATTCTGACCTACCATTCGGAAGCGATAGTATCGCCATCTGTATCGACAATTACAAAATGCGTACCTATTATGAAGTACGTACTGAAAAGCGGCAAATTTTACACGATTCAACATTCTACGCAAGAAATAGTTTCTGCTTATTGATAGAAGATGTCGTTAGTTTATATTCAGCAGTCCATTTCTTCTTGTTCAACGACATCTATCGACTAGGTCAGTCAGTTAGTAGTAGTCAGTTTCAGTAGGTCGTCCCAATTGAGTTATATATACTACGTACTCGTCCCTCCATCTAGTGAGGTGTCGCCCAACACTGCGTTTTCCAGCACCAGGCCGCCATCCGAGAACTGAAATGTATATTCCTATATTTTATCTAAATCTGTAATTCTAGTTAGTAAAATTTTTCCTACTCGTAACAGTACAATAATCATTCTCGTTGGGAAAAGAGGCGGTATAAATAGGACACAGTTATTTCAATAAATTGAAAACCGCTCTATTATATACAGGGTTATTTTGCAATTATCGGCCAAATTGCCAGAGAAGGTTCAGAATAAGCAAATGATGAACAAAAATTAATTACAAAAATCTCAAACATTCTGTCATTTTTAATTTTTGGAAGGAAGTTCCTTATCAGATGGTACGGGTTTGACGGATGGGAGCTAAGCGACAAAAAGTGTAAGATTTTTTCGTCACTACCCCTTGAGTCATAGTGTATTTTATTTTAAACTAGCTGTTCCCCGCGACTTCGCTCGCGTGTTAGGATTTTTATATTTTTGCGTGGAACCCTAATTCTTTTTCTAAAATGAAAGTAGCCTAAGTTACTCCTTGTGAAATCAGCTACCTGCCAGTGAAAGTCCCGTCAAAATCGGTCCAGCCGTTTCGGATATTACCCGGAACAAGCAGACAGACAGACAGACAGACAAAAAATTTTAAATTATTTATAGGTACCGTATTTACTTTCATATGCATTTAGTAAAAAACTGTAATTTTGACATTACAAACAGACACTTCAATTTTATTTGTTTGTATAGATGACGCTTTATTTTAATAGACGCTAGTAATACATTTATTTGTATTTGTTAATCAATAATATAATACGTTTATCAATAATAAGGAACTTCGTTCCAACCGAGTGTTCCACGAGACTCACGCATGTTTTTTTTTTCATTCAAAATACGTGGTAATGCATTATTTTAACTAATTTTACTACGCATGCACACATTCGTAATGGTCGATTAAGAGGCAAAAATGCTGTTGCCCATAAATCACATTTAATTTACAATAATTTTAAATAAAATTAGAAGTCTTATTTATTCGTATTTTGAAAAACAGCAATAACAGTGTATCATTATTTATATTCTTGAACTTAAGTTTAAAATTTGTCTACTCTTTGAAAAATAACTCTGTATATTATATAGTATCTCAATTATCTAAATGTACACAAAATTGTCTTCTTCCCACTGCCTTACATGATAAATAGATTATGCCTTACATGATAGATAGAGTTATAAGAGTTGATTACGTTACGTCACGTCAATACTTGTACACAAATATTTTAATAGTTTTTTATTTTTTTATTTTACACATCTATAGTTTAAAATTTTTAGTTAGAATGATTTCACTCTGTTCGCCTTCGATAATAATGTTTGAAATTGGACGATTTGACAAGTACGTAGTACCAGCATTAGATTTTATTTCTTGTCTGTGAACGGCTAACTGTTGATTATTAGCAAAGAGAATATAACCACTATGTTTAAGAGGCGGGACTTCCATAGTAAAAGTAAACGCATGAAAGGACGCCAAGCTAATCTACCAACATCAAATTCCTTTATTGATATGTTGTTTATCGATATTTTTACATAATAAAAGTTAGATAATATATTGAATTATTTATGAGAAATAAATTTTTAACGTGGGGATTGAGTAAAAATGCTGATGAGGATAACAAATCAATGTATTTTACACACAGCAATTTGTAATTATATCTCTACAATTAGGTACAAATGTATATATAGCGTAAATATAAAATAAGAAACGCACTATTATACTAGTAATTAATTAATTAAAAAATAAATGACGACTCCGTAGCGTAGTGGCGTTTGGCTGCGGCACTGCAGGACCGAGACTTCGTTCCCGCACTGAGCAAGTGTTGCTATGCTGTAAAATAAATAGTCTGCGTCTGGATGCTTGTTTTTAACGACAGCTTTTTAAAGGGTACAATATTAGGTTTTTAACACTGATTGGATTAAATTGCTTTTATGTGTAACAAATACTATGTACAAATCGCTAGGCTTCTTCACAGAGGTACCTATGTACTAATTGTCGCTTTCAAAATGAGTGCTCATTATAGCTAATGTTTGTAGCTGAATCTATAAAAAAATTATTTATTACCAGTTAATTAAAAATAACTTTGAGTTTATTTATATAATCGAATTCTTACCAAAATGTGACTTTGGAGGGATATTATCTTTTGCTACATGTAAATGAAACCTAATTAACAATCACATAATTGTGGAAGTTTAAATTAAGTCCACTGATGTAATAACAGTTCGTTTTAGTTGGATTCAAATGCAATGTTTGCCACAAATATGTTTTAACATATGAATATTTTCAATTGGTGCATGTGCCAGCTATTTCACCCATTGCTTGCATCTGAAAAAATAATATAAAGAAAATCATATTTTTATTGAACAAATAGAATGTTAGCAGTCACAATGTGTGACTGTGTAGTTTCTAAGTATAGTTCGTTTCGGATTGCCATACCATCGAAATAGTGTGTTTCTATTTGTGCACACAATCGTACACTATAACAACCTGTCTTACGTAGATGGCTAGTCCAAAAATGTACTTGCGTTAAATATCATATTACAATTAAAGTCGAAATCACCACACACATACCTTTCATCATCTAAGGGAAATATTGCTACAAATAGCCTTTTCTTGTTATAATTTTTTTCGCTTCTTGCACCATTTTATTGTAAAGTTTTATAGAGCATATTTAATTTTTTAACAATTCTGTAAATGAACAACGGCTCCTATAGCAAAATTAAAAACAATCTTAATAAATAAAATATATACAAATATAATCATCGCCTAAGGGTATTAGTCTACATATATATTTATCTATGGTATTAGTGTTCTGTGAATATAATTGTTTGATTTGACATTTCAACCTATTTGACATAGATTACTGTACTAGAGATAGATGCGCGACTCAAAGTTTATTTTCGTTAGTGTCGTGCTTTGCCGAACAGATGGCGCTTAATTCTTACAAAAGAAGGAACTTGTAAAATAAAGGGAAAAATAAACACATCTGCTGAACTCGAACCGGGGTCTTTTGGTTTCGGGACCACCCGGTTATCCACCTGAGCTATTATTATATATATATATATATATATATATATATATATATAACCTTGTATGCAGTGGCGAAATTTACCTTCGTATTCTAATGATATTTTAGCAGATTTTCGTTGCCTGAAAACACAGATAAAACGGCATTTTCTAAAAATAAATAATATTCAATAAATATTAATAACAATTTAAGCGTAACTACTAGTGACCCCTACTAACTGTGTAGTGCGCATGGATCATTGCATATGCATAGACTTAATATATAAATGTGCCCTCTAGTGAGATTAAAATAAGTCTAGCCTAGCAATTCGGAATATAGATGGAAGCATATAAAACGTATCATTTTGTTCGTAAAATAATGTTCTAAGTTGCATGCCCATGCTATTTGATTTGACAATGTCGTTAATAGACATATTACGAAAAGCAGAAAGATGAGATAATCGTCATTAAAATTTAACCCCTGTAGTAGGTACATAAAATTTTTACAATAGAAGTTGCACCAGCCTGATTAGCAAAGAACATATAACCACTAAGTTTATTGTTGGTTTATTGCCTACTAAGAATTTAACGTTATAAATTTACTATCTGTGATCATTACTTACAAATTGACAATGTTAAGTCATGTCATCATTTTTGTACACAAACGTTTGTAGAAATTATTTTGAGTAATACTTATTTTACTTAGATCAGCTGTAAAAACACAGGAGTTTAATATTTTCCAAAACACACATCTAAATGTACGGTGAAGGTACGGTGTATTTCACAGGCATGATTCTCTTTAAAAATTGCCAATATCTTAATAACTTTGAGCAATAAAAATAATATTACTTAAGAAGTTATTTGAAAATTAAACATTCAATTTAAAATATTGAAAATCTTGTGATAATTGAGTCACCCTACATAATATCACAACTAAGATCAGGAGCTCTATGAAAATATATCTAGTTTACTTGTCATAGCTCCACGGAATTATCGAAGCCTACAGGTTTTTCATTTCTTACACAACATGCTTTTAGATTGGCTATGTTAGGGTTTTTATACAAGCAAGGGTGACATACGAGCAGAGTCCACCTGATGATAAATGGATGCTATATCCATCTACGTCTATCTTGAATTAACAAATAAAATGCGAGTCGCATCACTTACAAAAGATTATCAAACCAAAAGTCATAGTCATCAATATCATTGTAATCGTCATCAACATCATCGTTGTCATCGCCATCAATATCAACATCATCATCGGCATCGTCATCATCATCCACCAGTTAATTACCCATTTATTTACCCGTGGAAATCCTGCCTATATCCATAGTAAATGTAAACTATGAATTAGTTACTTGCGATAAAATTTACTAATAAACAAATATTATATATAATTTGAGACTTGGAAAAGTTTATAATATTAATTAGATTTTTAGAAAAATTATGACCTACTATACTTGTCATTCAGGGTTTTTTTATAGGATAAGGGTGACAAACGAGCACACAATCCACCTGATGGTAAGTAGTTGCTGTGACCCATAGACATCTACACCCATCTTCAACTACGAATCAAAATGCAGATGCGTTTTCCCCCGAGAGGACCACGGTGGAATGCCTCGTTTCCATTAAAAAGAACCTGCAGTACTTTACACTCACCTTACGAAACACAACAGTGGTAAGCTGCTATTTTACGCCAGTATTCAGTGAGTGCGTGGTCCTTCCCCGGTCGAGCCGACCCATTCGTGCTATAACTATACTACTAATATAGCTGCAGCATGGCTCTACCACGTATAAGATGGCTCTACGACGTATAGGGTTTGAAAGATTGCCGTGAATTGGTGGTGTAAGAGAGTCAACTGCACAATATCATCCGTGGGGGTTGTGAGAGGCGACAGAGGGGAATGAAATAGGAGTTTAGCAAAGAGATTTATTCTCGATTAAGAACCAGAGTGCAGATGCGTTGTCACCCCTGAGGACTAAGATGAAATGCCTCTTTTCGTCTTCGGTTCACTACACTCACCATATGAGAGACAGCAGCATCAAGCCGCTATTTTACGCTGGTATTCTGTACGAGCATGGTCCTGCTCCGATCGAGCCGACCTATTCGTGCGACAACCATAATATAGCTGAAGCGTGGCTCTACCACATATAAATACCTTCTCAACTTTCTGCTCAACTCAAAATAATAAAAAACATGCATAAATGTCGTGGAACAATTGATTGGAACTTGGAACGAAGTTCCTTTCGTAGTTTATTATTATTGATAAACGTATTATACTATTGGTTAATCAAATACAAATAAATGAATTACTAGCGGCTATTAAATATTATAATGAAGCGTCATTTATGACAACATTTTATGACAAGATAAGAAAAAGTGCGATGGAGATGAATATTATTTCATCTCAAGTCTAAGTACGTGGATGGATATTATTCCATCTCAAGTCTAAGTACGTCTAATCAAGTTTAAGTACGTGGACACGCTCTTTCGTTCCCAGCTTTTGAAAATTGATTAAAACTGTTTAATGGTGTATTTTTGTTGTGTGTCGAAGTTTAAGGAGCTTTTTAAACCTCTCTGTTAATTATGGACGTATTTGCAAAGTAAAATATAGTCTAAATACAGTGGCAATTAGTGTGTATAATAAGTGTTGTGACGGTATTTGTGACTGATAAATAATCAAGTCTAACATATACCCGTCTACTCATGTATGAATATCGCGTACATCATATACAGGCGTAAAATTAAACACTTAGTCAACGCAACAAAGTGGCAGATTGGTTAAACTCTCTAAAATATTATCTTAGTAGTGCAAGATCAAACCTACAACGATTTTTTTTTCTTTTTGTTTTATATTTCTCATTCTTTCTTTTTTTTTTATGATACTTGACTACATTGAATTTTGATATTGTAGTTATATATTTCGCAATGCCGAACACTCCGATTTCAAGAGGTAAGCTGTCATGGGGTTGTTGTGATGGAGGATCTGCTCATGATGTATTCCTGCGTTGTACCAATTGTAAAAAAGTTTATCACAAATCTTGTCTAGCCTTACCTGAAAATATGGACATGACAGAGTCATCATATGGTTGGAAGTGTCCTTTATGTACAAGTAAGGCTCCGAAATCGGGGAAGGATGACAATACGCCAGTAAGGAACATTACTGTCAGAGGAAATAAAAAACAACCATGTTTCCCCCTCATGCAAAAGCAGTGATACCCCAGTGACTACAGAGGAAGTAAAAGAAATAGTGCAGACTGTGATACAGAAGGAAATGGAGAGCCTTTACAATAAAATGAGTAAAAGTATACTAGACACATTGAATAAGCAACTAAAGGATGTAAGTGAAGAATTATCAAAAGTAAAGGAATCTATAGAGTTTATGAATGCTGAATTTGAAGAGTGCAAAATAGAAAGTATAGCTATGAAAAAGAGTTATAAAGAGCTTCAGGATGAAAACTGCAAAGTAAAATCTGCTGTTCAAGAACTAACGATACGTGTCAACCAACTGGAGCAAAGCGCACGATCATCAAATGCAGAAATCCAATGTGTTCCAGAAAGGAAGACGGAAAATGTCTTAAATATTGTTAAGGATATATGTAAGGTCATTAACTGCAACATAAGTGATGATAAAATTGTAAACTGTACTCGCATTGCAAAAATAAATCAGAGCAGCCCTCGTCCACGTTCAATTATTGTTCAGTTTACAACACCTTTCATACGCGATCAGTTCTTGGCTTCAGCGATTAAGTTTAATAAAATAGATGTCTCCAACAAGCTGAATTCAACTCATCTCGGTATTCCCGGAAATAAGATTCCTATTTATATATTGGAGCATTTGTCTCCAGCTAACAAAGCTTTGCATGCAGCCGCCAGGATAAAAGCGAAAGAAAATAACTTTAAATACGTTTGGGTGAGGAATGGACGAATCTACATGAGAAAGGATGACAATTCCAAGTATCACCTCATCAAAAACATGAGTCTCCTGGAAAAATTAGTATAATCTTCTTAGTTATATATAGATCTAAGAATAATGTATGTTGAATATTTTTTAATTTAAAATACAATAATTTACAGTTAAGTATTTACTACCAGAATGTGCGTGGTTTGCGAACAAAAACTCTAAATTTTTACCGTAAATTGTGCTATTTCGATTACGATATCATCATATTGACTGAAACGTGGTTGAATGATACGATTATTAGTAACGAGCTATTTGGTAACAGATATGTAGTTTATAGAAGGGACAGGGAAACTACCGGTTTTCATTCAAATAAGGATGGTGGAGGAGTATTGATAGCTATATCTAGTAGAATCAAGTCAAAAAGAATGATTATGTGGGAAAGTAAATGTGAAGATCTTTGGGTTACTCTAGATTTGACAGACGGAAAGAACTATTTTCCAATTGCCCTTTGTGCTGTCTATATTCCCCCACCAATTCAGTCTAGAGTATTGGAATGTTTTCTTAGTAACTGTAATTCTTTGTTTGATAAATTGAAACAAAGGACTTGCATAGTTGGTGATTTTAACTTACCTGACGTTAATTGGAAACTCGTCAATGACTTGAATAGCAATTATACTGCTTCCTTTAAGGCTCGAAGTCTTATAGATTTCTGTTATATTAATAAATTACGACAGTACAATTTCGTCGAAAATAAAATGAGGAGAATTCTCGATTTAGTTCTAATAAATAGTTTACATTGCACTGTTAATGAGGCAAACGATATATTGACCATCATAGATCCTTTACATCCTCCGATTGAAATACAACTACTTATATCTGAAACACGAAAACTAAAATACAATTCTAATGTCAAAAAGCGCAATTTCTATAAAGCTGATTATGAAAAAATTCGTGAACACTTAAGTAAAATTAATTGGGATATGCTATTCATGGGGCTAAATGATATAAATAGTATTGTTTCAGTTTTTTACAAAATTGTAAATTTAGCAATAGAAAAATTTGTTCCATGGAGTACGATCAAAAGTGATAAATATCCCATTTGGTTTAGTCGAAGTCTGATTAACGTAATAAAGGAAAAAAATAAGGTGAGGTGTAGACACAAAAAATATAATAACGCAATGGATTTACTCAGCCTAAAGTTACTTAATAAGAGATGTGATAAATTAGCTAAGACCTGCTACAACGTTTATATAAAATCTATAGAAGATAATATTGTTACAAATTCAAAAGTTTTTTGGTCTTACATCAAAAATAAACGGCATGGCAATAGTAAGTATCCGAGTGCAATGTCTAATGGTAGTGTGATGACAACAGATGCGACTGATATATGCAATCATTTTGCCTCACATTTCTCCTCAGTATACACCGTAGACAATCCAAATGGTCTTAATGAAAATGATTCAAATAACCAATATTTAATATATTTAGATAATAATAATTATCATTTTGGCACTTTGGTTTTGGATGAAAAATCAGTTTTAAAAAAATTAAAGGGCTTAGACCGAAAAGAGGACCTGGTCCAGACTCTATTTCACCCTATTTCATCACTGAATGTGCCATAGAACTGTCTACTCCTCTTTGTTTTATATATAACAAATCCTTACAAACAGGATGCTTTCCAGATATATGGAAACTCGCAAAAGTTGTCCCTATACATAAAGCGGATGATGATACTTTAGTTAGCAATTATAGACCGATCTCAATATTATCAACCTTTCCCAAAATATTTGAATCATTAGTATGTCCCTATATCCAAAATTATACAAAACAGTTTATTACAGATGATCAGCATGGATTTGTCAAATCTCGTTCGACTTGCTCTAATTTAGTTACGTTTGTTGAAACGTTGGTAAAAACTGTAGACATGCAACAGCAAATAGATGTAATATATACCGATTTCAGTAAGGCTTTCGACCGAGTATCACATGTTATGCTTTTAAGAAAGTTAGAAACTTATGGTTTTTCTGACCCTATCCTCGCGTGGTTAAGGTCTTATCTAAAAGGTCGAAATTATTTTGTTGTTGTTAATGGATTCAGTTCTGACATATTTCCCATCACATCCGGAGTTCCCCAGGGATCACATTTGGGGCCAATTTTATTTAACATATTTGTTAACGATATTCCTAATTGTTTCTTACATTCCAATTGCTTTATGTATGCTGATGACTTAAAATTTTGTAAAATTGTTAATAAATCGTCAGATATGATACTTCTTCAGGAGGATTTAACTAGACTTTCTAAATGGTGTGATGTTTATGGAATGACTCTTAATCTAAAAAAATGTGCACATATTAAATTCACTCGCAAAAATAATATTTTCCCATCAGTTTATACCCTCAATGGTGTAGTTATCCAGGAAGTGGAAACAGTTAAGGACCTGGGTGTAGTATTTGATAAAAAGCTTACATTTATACCACAACTAGAAAATGTAATTAAAAGATCATCTCAAGCATTAGGTTTTGTTATAAGAAATAGTAAAGAATTCCGTAATGTTACCACAAAAAAACTTTTATACTTCTCAATTGTTAGAAGTATATTAGAATATTGTAGCACAGTCTGGCGTCCCCATTATTCTACCCATAACCTTCGCCTTGAGCGCGTACAAAAAAGATTTTATGGCATCTTGCCTTTTCAACACGAAAAGCATATAAAAATGCATCATATGTAGATAGATTAAAGTCATTTAAAATGGTATCACTATCAAAACGCCGGGACATTCTGGATTTGCAACTTTTATATAAAATATTTAGAAATAACTTAGATTGCCCTTTATTACTACGTAAATTTAATTTTCGTATCCCAAGTAGATATCCTCGTAAATTCATTACTCCTCTTTCGCCGCCTCTTCGTAGAACTGTACTAGGATTTAATTCCCCAATATCCAGACTTTCCAGACTTTTAAATACCTATAATAATGTACTAGATATTCACCACGACTCTTTTAATGATTTTCGGCACAAAATTTATCAAAATATTAATGTTTCTTTGTAAAAAAAAAAAATTATTATGTATTAATTTTATAATTTTGTTTATTTTCTTTTATTTTAAGTTTGTATCGTATATTTTTAGCTATTTGGTAACGGCTTGTAGGAGATGCTGTGAACACTAAGCATGCGGTGTTCACCTATTATTGAATGTGCACTTAGTTTATATTACTATATTAGAATTAAGCATATATATCAGTGTAACATTTGTTGGTGAACCAAATAAATAAATAAAAATAAATAAAAATAAAATCTCGCTCGCACTATAGAAAGTCACATTAATATATGCAATCTGCAATCTATGGAACTGTAGATTTTGATTTGCTGTAATGATGATCGGAATAATGATCCAGATGACTGTAAATGTTCCCGGCCGCTCGATGACTACAACTGGTATAAGCCTCGGGACTACCGCACCAGTCCGGGCGTCTTAGCTTTGGAGAACTGGCGCCAGAACCCATTCATCTGGCTCCACTACGTTGAGAGCAACGATGGCCTACAGCCAGCTGACTACGTTTTAAGGTGATTTTCCTTTCTTTGGCAAAAGTACCATAACCATTTTTTATTTACACTATTTAAGTAAATAACTTTGAAATCAAAATCAAAATTATGCAATAATTGAAAGAATTATTATCAAATATTTAAAAAAAATTATTAGTTTGATTTTTCAGTCCAATTATTTAAATATTACTTACTGAAGTTTATAAACGGCAATACGTGATTACCATTTCGTCGGTACTAATTAAATTTATTAATTCTCTCATTTTTTACAGCCTGTCAAAATGTTGTGAGGTAGTTTACATACATAAATTGCAGTAGAATAAACATCCAGACCCGGTACAAATACTTGTAGGCCATGCAGTTAATTGTTCCGTGAGGGATTCGAACCCGCGGTTCTCAGTGCCTCAACTCAATGCTAAGCCACTACGCCATGGAGCTGAGTTCATTTTGGAGAATATCTTTAATATTGCTTTTGACTTGATATTAAGAGGATGCTACTAACCAACCTAGCAAATCTTAGGTTCAACCACTTAACCGTCCACCCCGCGCTCGTGATTATCGCCTCACCTGCGCATTGCATGTCACTATTTTTTTACGACCGCGCGAGACTATCTGAACAAAAACGATTACTACTGAAAAACAACTGTTACGGCCTACGGTTGCTCCCTTAAAGGATCCAATCCCCTGGGGCCCATCAGCAGAAGACTTCCCGAGCAAACGTAGGTCGGGCCTCCTAAGGCCACGTGGAATCTCTCTAATTACACTAAAATATATGGGGGAGCGTTATACTACGGCCAGTCGACCGGAAGGAATTTGGCGGAGTTCACTTACCTCTATCCAAGGCGACTGGTCCCTCCGGAGTCGGTCAGGTCGCATGTGGTTGTGTAGTGCAAGGGAAAGAATGGTGATGTGGTGTGTATCTGGGTGTGACTGATGGTGATTGAACCTAGACCTTAGCCGTCGGCAGCAGCCCGAGCGTCGACACCGCTCCAACTTGAGGGGGCCTTTCGAGGTTATCCACAGTCACTTTCTTGGTTCACCACGATGACAGTCACTTAACTCTATCGTACTATTAACTAGCTTACAGAAGCCACTAACTATCGCGGGGTATAAGGTTACCGCACAAAACACGCCCGGAGTTTCTGGGTCAAAGGTCACTACCGTTTCGCGTAGCAATAGTTAATTCTAGAATCAGAGGCCGCACTAGCTTATATTGTCGAATGCACTTATACAGATTCTGAGTCGGACCCAATAAGTCCCGGGAAAGGCTATCCAAACAGGGAATGCGCGTTATAATTCCTAGACAGGATATTTACTAGACGCCCTAACTATTCCGCGGTTCCCGCACAAAATTAACAGCGTGCAAACATTAGCGCATCTGGCCGATGACTGACTCGCTTGCGACCCGCGCGCCACTGTGACGCTCGGAAGAACTTCAGACCGGAATCGCGCCGAGCCGAGTGACATCTGGTGTCGATTAAGACAACAGAGTTTTGCGCGAACAAACCCCCGTCCCGGACATAAGGATTTAGGTCCGCGAGCAAACCGGTCAGCGGGACAAGGTCGAGACTGCAAGTTGCAAGACCGAATCTACAACCAAACTAGGCCACCTTAGGCAATCCATTAGGTCTTGCAACCCTAATCAACGCCTCAAAGATATCCCTAATGTGGCAAGCCGGAGGGTCAGCCTCCACTGGATGCCCCTCCTGGGCATCGCAGCACTTTAATAAGTCCTGTACTGGACAGAAGTCCGACGACCTCTTTCAAACACCATCTGTGCCCCTATGATTAGTTCCGCAATCCGACCGGATCAGCTCTGCAAACAGTGACGCGACACGAAGCGGCCTCGAGCGGCCTCCTAAGCTTCAGTGCAGAGAGCACCCACAAATTCCACATGAACGTCGTCTGTGGAGAGCCGAACGAAACGCACAGATAGTCCCTAGTATGAATTTTCAACAAGTAGGCCTAGCCAGGCCACCCACCATATTATCATTTACTAAAATAGTGCGGCAGCTGATTTCAATCTGATAATCTCCAAAACTAGCTAGCCTGTTAGACAAGTAGTCCTATGCTCATATTTCAACTAATTTTTCAAAAGCATCAATGTTCAACTACAGAATTAATTCAACCAAATTAATCACCGATGCGCATAGGTCAACTTGCAAATTAAACAAAACAATAACGTAAGGGACAGCCCTACTTCTTAGAAAACAAAAATGATTAAACACTATCATAAACATAAACATAATTTTTCAAATAGTGCGCCATTCCATTTCAGATGAATTCAAATTTTCCTTTCAGCAAACAAACGCAACAATCAAATACAGTGATTAAATATATGTACAAAACACATGCAGTAGCATTTAAAGGAGTAGATTAAATTCAATTCTTTTAATTTAAACCGCTACAAATAGGAGAATTTCGCGGAAAGCCCAAAGCAATTTTTAATTTTAATTCAAGTATTTTTTTTGACTAAGTGCTCGACCAAACCAAATCTAATACCCCTTGACAGCGTGATTCAACGCTACAGGGGGGCCCTAATCTTCCCACCACCAAGGGGAGGCCACATGGCGTGAACCCGAGATAAATAGAGCACAACCTTTAACAGTTGCCACTCGGGTTGTACGCCTTCACTGAGGCCGTCGGCAACAGAACATTTTGACAAGTGGACTGTTGACGGCTTAAGGCTCAGTGGAGGCGGCCGTGGTGGGAACTAAGGCAGCAGCTAGACAGGGCCGCCTCCATCAAATGGGGAACAGTGGTACACCAGTCGCGGCCACTCAGCTAACGGAAGTGAGAAGGGTCCAGCGGACCGATGAGTGGCCGTGAAGTTCCTCTCCACACGCTGAGGGGGGGTGATGACACCCCCGCCCCTGGGGGAATTACCCCCCAACTGGTCGGGGGAGGGACTCCTTTCAAACTTAGGGGCCTGGTGGCTGGACGGCGGGCGCCGAGAGTCACCCTGCAGAGGGCGTGGCTGAGCGCCCCCGCCCGTGGGGGTCGAGGGCCTGGCAGAGCCCCGAGAGGAGATGCCGTTCGCACCCAGGCACAAAACGGCATGGTGATTGCCCTGGCAATGCAGACAGGGCCGTCGATGCGGACAGTCTCGCTGGAGGTGCCCTCCCAGACATGACCAGCACCAGCGGCGCTCCTTGGCGATAGTTCGCCTCGCTGGAACCGGCTTACCTAATAATTTCGGGCACGACGTTACCCGGTGATCAGATGCTCGACAATAGGAGCAGGGGGGGGTTGACGACGACTTGCCTGGCGGGTTCAGCCTCTCACTGGGCACGTCTCGCAAGTCGTCAACGGTGCCCGCCGCGTTCTCGATCTGGCGGCACTGCTCCTCCAAAAACCGCAGCAGGTCATAGAAGGGCGGAATATAGGAGGCCTCGTCCCCGCCGTACCTCTCCTCAAAATGGATTCGCAGGTCGAGAGGTAGACGGGACAGCACGATGCGGAGCAACAAAAAAGCCCATTCGCCCACTGGTAAACCCAGCCGCCTCAAAGTATTACAGGCCACCAAGACTGGATCCAACAGGTCCGGACGCAGTCTGGCCCGGTCACTAAGCAGCGGGAGGCTTAGAAGCTGCTTAACCTGTTCGTCCGCAATTCGCCGGACGTTGGCGTATCTTATGGCTAGGAGGTCCCGAGCAGTCTGGTAGGCGTCGTCCGACAATCTCAAGTGGCCGACGACGCCCAGGGCCTCCCCCTCCAGTGAGGCCAGGAGGTACACCATCTTTTGGCTCGGGGTCAAGTCACTCCGGGAGTCCACTAGGCTGTCGAAAAGACCAACGAAGGTCAGCCATTCGGAAAGGACCCCGGAGAACTTTGGCAGGTCCAGAGTTGGGAGTCGTCCCAACAGCTCCGGCTGAAGCCGCTTCAGAGAGGACTCGGACAAGTCACTCATCCGAGCTTCACGAGCCTCCTCGGCATACCTGCCTTCAGCCTCGATCAACTCGTCCGTGAGCCACAAGAACTGCTCATAGTCCGCGAAGCAGGAGTCCAGGACTCCCTTCTCCACATCCGAATCCTCGAGTTCAGCGTAAGCCTCCTCCACTGCGGCCCTTCGAGCATCCACCTGCTCGAACTGCTTCATCAAGTTATGGACCCTATCCGGTCGACCTATCAAAGCATGGGCGCTTGTGGCCCAGCGTAGCTCAGTCCGCAAACAACGGATCAGTAGCTTGGGCGATGTCATCACTATTAAATGCAAATTACGACGCGGCTTGAGCACAGTTTACAAAGATAACAAATAAAAAATACAACAAAAAATTAACAGTTAATAAATGCAGTTCCTATCAAATCGCGTTGAATAGAAATTACACAAATACGAACTACTTGCTACGTATCAACCAAATACAAGTTAGCACAAAAAGACACAAATCAAATTAACAAATAACAAATACTAGTGCGATCGAATCAAGTTAAATTCAAATTGCGCAAATACAAATTACTACTATTTAGTTCAAATACAACTTACAGTATAAACGAAGATACACATCACGGTCGATCAACAAAAAATGCCTAGCTCGGAAATCGAACCTTCGATAAGTAATCCACTACAACTCTCCGACAACGATAATTAACCGATTACGTAAAAATAACCATCTACCTACATGACGTATATCTCTAGAAAATCTCCCGCTTGCACAACCTAGGGCGCGGCTTTTCAAATTACCCTCTAACCAAAAAAAGGCAAGCAACAAAGCAACAAAGGAAAATAATTCTATTATTACGTACAAAAAAAATATTTTTACGTATTACGGACGGGCGTGATTGTAGATGCAAATTAAACCAATCACACCAACGCTCCCTGCCCACCAAAATTGTTTAATGTTTATCAAACACTATAGTCGGGATCGACCGGGAATCGAACCCGGAACCACGCTCTGCTACCAGATTGTTACGGCCTACGGTTGCTCCCTTAAAGGATCCAATCCCCTGGGGCCCATCAGCAGAAGACTTCCCGAGCAAACGTAGGTCGGGCCTCCTAAGGCCACGTGGAATCTCTCTAATTACACTAAAATATATGGGGGAGCGTTATACTACGGCCAGTCGACCGGAAGGAATTTGGCGGAGTTCACTTACCTCTATCCAAGGCGACTGGTCCCTCCGGAGTCGGTCAGGTCGCATGTGGTTGTGTAGTGCAAGGGAAAGAATGGTGATGTGGTGTGTATCTGGGTGTGACTGATGGTGATTGAACCTAGACCTTAGCCGTCGGCAGCAGCCCGAGCGTCGACACCGCTCCAACTTGAGGGGGCCTTTCGAGGTTATCCACAGTCACTTTCTTGGTTCACCACGATGACAGTCACTTAACTCTATCGTACTATTAACTAGCTTACAGAAGCCACTAACTATCGCGGGGTATAAGGTTACCGCACAAAACACGCCCGGAGTTTCTGGGTCAAAGGTCACTACCGTTTCGCGTAGCAATAGTTAATTCTAGAATCAGAGGCCGCACTAGCTTATATTGTCGAATGCACTTATACAGATTCTGAGTCGGACCCAATAAGTCCCGGGAAAGGCTATCCAAACAGGGAATGCGCGTTATAATTCCTAGACAGGATATTTACTAGACGCCCTAACTATTCCGCGGTTCCCGCACAAAATTAACAGCGTGCAAACATTAGCGCATCTGGCCGATGACTGACTCGCTTGCGACCCGCGCGCCACTGTGACGCTCGGAAGAACTTCAGACCGGAATCGCGCCGAGCCGAGTGACATCTGGTGTCGATTAAGACAACAGAGTTTTGCGCGAACAACAACTATAGCTACATTCAAATAAAAAATATTCTCAAAAGACTCAGAGAATTCAAAATTTAATTTTGTTAAAAGAAAATAAGTCAAATTAAAAATAAAAGCTGAAAATAAAGCTTAAAATAGGAATATCAAAAAAAATCGTATTTATTTTTGAATATCGAGTTTTACGAGAAAAGTATAATATTTACTGGAGACAATTATTTTATATTATAATGCTCGCGTATACTGTTAACTGAATTTTAACCATGGCTCAATTTTATATATTATATTTATACAAATTTGTAAATTTGTGTTTAACTAGGGCCCACGACACCTGCTTTTGGTCAATCGAGGATGTACAGCGCTATTTTCGCGGTCAGCTACATTGCGAGGAAGTGCTCTTCACTTGCGAATATCCTAATCTTTCCTTGCCGACTCCTATCGGACTACACTCTTGGAGGTCTAATGTTGCTCTTAAACGGCCGTCTGCGAACTATTTAAAAGAGTTCCACAGGTCTTTGGAAATTACGCTCAAGGTGATTATCATTTTGTATGGTATAGTTTTACCTTATAAGTGTTAGAACCACGCTGCAACCTCCGCCCCTTCCGCCAACGCATGTGTGTTAGACACATGCGTTGGCGGAAGGGGCGGAGTATGCGGCCGCGGCCAGCCGCTCGCAGATCGCAACATGGCCGCACGTGTTTGTAGATTCACTTACATTGCAAGCGAATACAATTGGCCGCCACCGCGGCCGCCACAGCAAGCCGCTTCTGTGTGGGAGACTCTTAATACAGACTTCACACCAACCTTAATGATTTACTCATAATAATCACTATTATGAAATGTTTAAAGTTGTTTCATCTCTTTTCACTAAATGACGATACCTATAGTAATTTTCTTAAAGTAAAATATTAGCTATTTTTCTACTAGATACTAATATTCCCTTTAACCACTTACTGTAGTCGAATGGCGGATTAAAACTCAAGACTTTTTGAGCTCGCAGTCCTCACCCTATCATTAGGCTACTTATTAAAAAATAGTAATTATTATTAAAACAACTATTATAAGATCGTTATCTATACATATAAATAAATTAGAAGTGCATGTCTGTAATACCGAAACAACTGGCTTATATTGAGCTGGGGATATTTGCATACCATAAGACATGACTAACCATTTTTAAAATTTTTGTCTGTCTGGCACTGTTCAGGCATACTGTTCGTACTAATCTTCGGAGTAGCTGAACCATTTTTAATGAAACTTTACAAACAGATTGAGAGCAATGCCAAAGGTGATCGAGGCTATACATTTATTCGAAAAACTTATTCTTTTTTTTTTTTAAAAAAAACGGAAAATTTATAACATAAATGGACTTTATTATATTGTGTATAAATCTGCAATTCCCCTGGAGTTGCAGGTGTTCATAGGCGGCAGTAGTCACTTACCATCAGGTGCGTAGCATGCTCGTTTGCCCTCTCTTCTATACAAAAAACATATGCATTTTCATTTTTTAGTTGAGGATAAATTTAGATGTCTATGGGCTACAGCATACACCTATCATCCGGTAGACTGTGTGCTCGCTTGTCACCCTTATTCTATGAAAAAAACTACTGGACGTGGGCCTTTCTAATGGTCTTTTCTCATAGTAAGAATTTATAATAATCGCCACGATTGCATAATCACATAAAAAAACACATAAAAAATTCGTAAAATTGCAATAAAAAATTTTGATTTTGAGATTCACTTAGCGGGATACAAACTACGTATCTCTCAAGTTGAACCAAGCAATACACATTTACAAAATTTTATTAAAATCGGTTAAGTGGTTTCGGACTTCATCGCGGCCAAACAATGTGGCACGTAATTTTTATATATAAAGATATATATACATACACATTACTACTTCACATATTCGTATAAAAAAAATCACATCTTATTAATAGACCCTACTCAGGCGAAGCCGGAAATGATTACTAGTTAGTAAATAAGAATTATAAACCTAATTATTTTCAACTTAGAAAATGGAAGCGGAACAAGCTCAGATAGACCGGTTGATTATTTGCGACCAACTGATAAAAGTTGATTTAATGGATTACTTCAAGAGAAAAACTTTTTTTCGAATTCTCTTAAATATATTAAGGTATGTAAAGGTATGTAAAATAGTAAGTAATAATCTCCACCCAGAACGAATTTCTGTCACGGCTACGGATCTCAATGGAGACCGGTCATTTGCGCAGGGCAAGATTATAGTGCCCGAGCGCATGCGCAAGAACAAGTTCACTCTCTATTCTCTCACTCTCATTCATAGTCCGATGGTTGGTTATTCGACACGACAGGAGAGAGATCAGGTTCAAAACAACGGACTTACATATGTGTTTCCGTAGGTACAGGGGTAAAGAAACACCGCCAACTTCCTAACTCCGGTGATGAAAGGTTCTCGAGTGGCAACATCGTACAGATAAGTGGAATATATAGGGAGACCCTCCACTAAATCAAAACTTTATTTAATTAATGCTGTAAATATGTAATGGATTGATAACCTGAAAAACCATGCAGAGTCATAGAATGCAGGTAACGCATGCTCGAGCTTTGTAGCAGTCTATAATGGAAGCCTATGTTCAACAGTAAACTGCGTTGATGATGATTACTTCTAGCTATTCTAGTAATATACAATATTTAAAAAAACACGATATCCGATCTGAAAGGGGCGCTATGATCAAAAAATCATATAATGAATGAATATAAAAATGTTATTGTTAATTAAAATACCTTATTTACTGCAATTTGCTTCAAGAATAGCATATTTTTAAATATAGTAACACCGCTACTTTGAAGGTGTGATGTGTCTTAGAGAACCTGACAGCCGCAGAAATTTCTTCATTTAATTAAACTTTTGCAGGGTATTTTTATATTTACCGAATCATATCACGATATATTCACGGATCGCTGGATTTTTTACATATTGTATAATATGTATCACATCTTTATATACTATGCTAGTTGCCAGGACAGTCTCCAGCTGGTTTCCTTAGAGAACCTCCGCTGCTCGCGGCTAGAGGGCGTGCGATTGATCCAGCAACTTGCCTGCTTCAACGCTCACTCACTCAAATACTTGTTTCTCTGGCAATTCGTTCGGTCCGATGAGAACCCTATACTTGTGAACTACAATTACATCACCGGTGAGTTGTTAAAGTTACATAGGTAAAAAAATGTATTGAGGTTTTTATAAGATGCTCCCATTTCATAGGAACCGTGTGAAGGCAGTTTTTTTATATAAAATAAGGGTGACAAACGAGCACTACGTCCACGTGATGGCAAGTGGACCCTGTGGCCCACAGACATTTACATCTATCCTCGAATAATGAAAATGCAGATGCTTTAAAAAAGTGACACCTCTGAAAGCTAAGATGGAATACCTCGTTTTCAGTAAAACGGCTCTCCGATTAACTAGTCATCTAAATCTCACCTCCAATAAGAATCAAAATGTAGACACCTCTGAGGCGTAAGATGGTATGCCTCGTTTTCAGTAAAATGGGTCTCCGGTTATTTACACTCGCCATACATAACATAGCAGCATTAAGTATATCGTACTGGTATTGTGTGAGAGCCTGCTGCTTCCCTGGTGGAGCCGGTGCTACTACTATAATATAGCTACAGCGTAGCTTTAATACGTCTAACTCACCTGATTTGATCCTGTGGGTGTCGTAAGAGGCGCCTATGGAAAAAGCCATAAAGATCATAGGGTTTCCGATAAATACCGTATAATACCCGCTGCGGTGAAAGAAGGCAGCGCCGGAAGTGCTAGAACTAATACTGCAATCATCAATTCACTAGCCAAGCGCTACGATTAAAGCGGTGCTACGCTACTCTGATTGTAGCGGTGCTACGCTACGCTGATTGAAGCGGTGCTACGCTACGCTGATTAAAGCAGTGCTACGCTACGCTGATTAAAGCAGTGCTACGCTACGCTGATTAAAGCAGTGCTACGCTACGCTGATTAAAGCAGTGCTACGCTACGCTGATTAAAGCAGTGCTACGCTACGCTGATTAAAGCAGTGCTACGCTACGCTGATTAAAGCAGTGCTACGCTACGGTGATTAAAGCGGTGCTACGCTACGTTGATTAAAGCGGTGCTACGCTACGCTGATTAAACCGGTGCTACGTTGCGCCGATTAAAGCGGTGCTACGCTACGCTGATTAAAGCGGTGCTACGCTACGTTGATTAAAGCGGTGCTACGCTACGCTGATTAAACCGGTGCTACGCTGCGCCGATTAAAGCGGTGCTACGCTACGCTGATTAAACCGGTGCTACGCTGCGCCGATTAAAGCGGTGCTACGCTACTCTGATTGTAGCGGTGCTACGCTACGCTGATTGAAGCGGTGCTACGCTACTCTGATTGTAGCGGTGCTACGCTACGCTGATTGAAGCGGTGCTACGCTACGCTGATTAAAGCAGTGCTACGCTACGCTGATTAAAGCAGTGCTACGCTACGCTGATTAAAGCAGTGCTACGCTACGGTGATTAAAGCGGTGCTACGCTACGTTGATTAAAGCGGTGCTACGCTACGCTGATTAAACCGGTGCTACGCTGCGCCGATTAAAGCGGTGCTACGCTACGCTGATTAAAGCGGTGCTACGCTACGCTGATAAAAGCGGTGCTACGCTACGCTGATTACAGCGATGCTACGCTGCTAAAACATAATGTGTAAAATAGTTAAAGTTAAACTTCAGACCACATGTTATTAAATTATGTAGAAAATATTCTGTTGCTTTAGTTTTTGAAGTTGGATTTTACTTTTTTGTAAGAGTTTAATTATTTGACCCTTTAAATGGACTAAGTATCATCACAACATCAATGTAACCAGAATATATCAAATTTGATTGGAACCTCCCTTGAGGGTATAACTCATTTAATAGAAAAAGAAATATAAAAACAATAAAAGGTTCACAACTTGCAAAGATACCAATTTACATAGTATATAAAAAAAACAGTCAGTGGGGTCTACGAGCGGCGAAGTTCCTAAAGGAACTGTATCCGAGACTGGTCGTCGCCACTGATAATAAGAGGGCTGGTTCTTTTCTCACTCAAAGGTTAGGTATAGCCATGCACCGAGGAAAAACCAACCAACTATTGGTATTCTTGGTACAATTCCGTGGCGAGTAGGACTGTTTGATAATTTAAGTCTTTAGTTTTAGTTTCTTTTAATAGTAATAAATATATTATAATTAACTTTATTTAAATAAAAAACATTTTCTAATTTAAAAACCGCCTTTTTTTGACGGCTAGGCCTTAGCACCTCATTTTATTTTATAAATCAAAATTATTATTTAACCCCCACGGATTTTTTTTGTAAATTTTGTGCCGTGACTCGAGTTCTCGATTCAAGATTTGAATCAATCGAATTTTATTCAATCTCATTCGAACCCTCGTAACAGTCTATAACGCACAATCGAATGGTGGTTTAAATTGATTCATCAAAAATGGATTCATCGAAATAAAAGTTCTCAGCTCTGATGATGCTCGCAATCGCATGCGACGAGAACGCTTGTTCTTAATTAGTTTGTCCTATTTATGTAATAAAATACATTGTAGTAATATGTACTACGTAATACAAGAAGAGAAGCCGCGGCTTGGTTGTTTGCAACACGCGTTAGAGTCCGCGAGCTCAAACTTACTTTCTCTGTGCTTCTTTCCACGCGCCCCGCACTGTCACACATATTTGCACAGATTTTGTTGTCTGTTCTAGTGTGTAGTACATATTAATTCAATTATCTCCATATAATGAAATATAAGGATGTACCTACCGGCGCTAATAACGCTCGTAACTCGATCGTGTTTCTCGATTGACTCGATTCAAATTGGTTCGTGGTTCGAGAGTAAACTTTAAAACTAGTTTCTAAAAACATTTATGTGAATCAAAAGCCGAATCCGATTAAAAAACAATTTCGGAAGTAAGCCCTTATGTTTTACGTTTTACCCGCGATTTTAGTATTCTATCTGTGCTCGGCTGTCGTAACTATTTCCTTAGCAACCGGTGCCATGGCAACACTTGTAAACGCCAAATTGCGTCAAACTGCAATGACGACTGACGAAGAGAAATCCAGATTATTGAAAATATTACAAGACCTTGAAGTCCCTGAGGACAGGCTACCAGAACGTTGTCAAGGACTGTTAAAAGAAATCCATCAAAAGTTTGCGCATGAACTAGAGGAAAATATAGAGGATGTAGGAGATGTGAATTACGAAAATCCCTACATACCAGATAAGGACTCGCTTGAAGAAAATGAACGTAAGCTTCGTGAACTGTTATTGGAAGAAAAACGGTTTGTTTTTCTTTGTTTTATACATGATATTCTGGCAAATTTGTAATACTTAAAGGCTATCTTTTTTATAGAATAAGGATGACAAACGAACACACAGTCCACCTGACGGTATTTTATGTGGTCCACAGACATCTACATCTATCCTCGATTAAGAATCAAAATGTAAATGCGTTGTCACCCCTGAGTACTAATATGGAATGCCTCGATTCTAGTAAAAGAAGTCGTCGGTTCTCTACACTGACGATACGAAACACAAGAGCATTAAGCTGCTATTTTACGCTGGTATTCTGTGAGAGAGTGATCCTTCCCCGGTCAAACTGACCCATTCGCGCCACAACTAAAATATAGCTGCAGCATGACTGTACTACATTTAAGCATTATTTTGGCAACTATGGCAACATCAGCCCTATGGCAATCTATGGGGGTGGCCCAATGTTCGGCAGTGGACTCATCTCAGCTCTACTCAGCAGGTCTATTTTATCAGCCTAAATAGGCTATAATGGTTGGATGGATAGATGGAATATGGATTGAATCGACGGCTCCTTGGCGCTATAGCTTAGTAATGAATTACGGTGATGACGGCCGAGGTTTCGGACGCGCACGGAACAAGGATTTGTATGGTCTACAATTAATGGTACTAGGTATGGATGTGTGTTTTTGTGAAATTTATATATGTAATCTGCCTCCGCGATACAAGAGAAAGTTCTAGTGTGGAGGTAACATTAAAAAAATCTTATGTACTTTTTCTGTCATAACTATTAGGCCTTCACAGTCCACGACTGGATGTGAACCTTTTTTAGAGTAAGAAGAGAATATCCCAATCATAAATCGTAACGAATACTTACAACATTTCAGAACTAAAAAGGAATGCATCGAAGAGAACTCTGCAGATGTTAAAAGACCGTGGCGCACTAACTCAAGCAAAGAAAAGCTGCTGCGAATCGACGTTGATTTAAAAAGACACCTGGAACGAGGTGCGGACTTGATTGGACCGTTAACTGATACGGACATGCAAGAGCTGGTTAAGACCTGTCTAGAGAAAAATGCAAAGTCGGGCCCGATCAGTGCAGATCGGCTGCGCGAGACGATAGACGAGGCTCGGATTAATCTACCCAACTTTCAATACCGCAAAGTGGATAACAGGACTGCCACCGCCATTCTATCGGATGCACATGTGGTAAAGGGCAACGAAACTGAAAAAGATGACGGAATCAATAACAGACTTATTTAATAAACAAGAGACATTTACACATTTCGCAAAATTTCAATAAATTTTTAAATAAATTACCATTGTGATTTTATTAAGAGTGACAAAGCAAATTTATGTTGCAGAAATTAATGACTGAGGTAGCAAGGGATGCCCTAGACGAAAGTTTATCAACCAAATTGGCAATATATTAAAGATGGGACAGATTTACCCTAAACAGACGAGCATGTATGTGTATGTATATATCAATGGATGTAAAGGAAGCGAGAGGGTTGTGTCGGGATCCTGCCAAATGGAAGTTCATAGTCTCCACCTACCCCTCTATCCAGAGGTCTGTCATCCGACTGACATGAATGTGTTTATGATTATAATTTATGATAATTTTATCATCATCATTATTACAATTCATGACAAGTACACTGCTGAATACAGGCCTCTACCAAGGAATGCCACAAAGCACGGTTCTGAGCCACATTCCTTCATCAATCGACTTCCTGCATGTCTTACCAGTTCGTTACTCTTCTAGTGGGAGCACGTCGTACAAAGGGCCATGAATCTGAAAGAGACGACGGTAGTATAAGAATATGTTAGACGTCTTTGATAAATAAGGAAACAAATCTTGTGAATTTTAAATAATTTTTTAACAAATTATCTTTGCGATCCATTTACTTGTTTTATACTTATATAGTAATACATGACTTACACTATTATTACATTAAAAATTGAAGTGGATATGTACGTTTATTAAGTATTTATTATAAAAGAAGGTGATTGTCACCACGTCATTCGAAATGTAGTGTGCAATAGATGACTACAATAACTTAAATAAAAATGTAACAAACTTCCGAAACAAAAGGAGCTGGTGATCTTCAAACGGCTGAACAGAAGTTCTTAAAACAGCTTAAAAACATTTTTCATTAAGACACCTTTCAAATGACGAAAACTTAATCGAAATCGGTTCATCCGTTCAGGAGATATGATGCCAAAGACAGATAGATACACAGATACTACAAACATATTATAACAAACCTCATTTCATTTCATTGGCGGTTAAAAAAGACATACCATCGAGCGGGGTAGAAGGCACTAGGTTAGAGTATTAAAAAAAATCATGTACGTATGTTACCGTTGAGACATTTAACATTAAGTGAACATAAATGCATAATTTTTTCAAACAAAACGCCTTTACATTTGTTTTTTCAATACAAAACGTAAATGTGAGACATTTCGACCGTGCAGTGGCGGTGTAAGTATTCACTATCCTATCCCGTCCTGGAAATGAGAGTCGAAAGACGGAAACAAACCAGAAGAGAAGCAACATCATCTCTCTCATAACAACTAGAAAATAAAAAACTGCGGTTGCCAACCCCGCTTACCAAACGTCCCACACTACTCTCTTTTCGGTACGAGGCAGCCACTCTAGAAACTATCTTCCGGTTGTTGATTCGTCTACTATTCGAACTAAATATCCATTAAGCTATATCAGTTATAAATCCGTAAAGTCGACGTCGAAGTGTAAGTAACCGGCTGATACAATCCAATACTTACATAACGGTTGTCTGGTAGCGCCCTAAACTCCGCCTTGTTACATTACTGTGCAACGAAGTTTAAGTAAGTAAATCCACTTCCTCTTGATAACTAAGTTTTAATTTTGAAGTAGAACAGCCAAACGCAGGTTTTATAATAGCCTTACAAACGTAGTACATAGAAACTTATTAGAACTAACCTACCCGTAAATACTGGGTAAACGTAACGCAACCTATATCCTATTACGGTGGTACTTTCTATTCTGACCAGGAGGCAACTACTTCTGACCTGTCGCAGAGCACGAGCACGCACAGCTGTGGTCCAGTCTGGAGGTGAGCCATTAAAAAGGCTGAAAGGCATTCCATTTCAGTCCTAATGGTGACAACGACTGTAGCCTTCTTTGTTTGAAGTTGGATGCAAATGTCCATGGACTGCAATAGACACCATCATATGGACTGTGAGACGGCGCTGTCATCGCGCAGTTAGCGAAAACACCTATTTTAGCCCATTAACTCCTGTGACGGAGGTTTAAAAATGACACAATCCTTCGTCTCTTTTTTTTTTAATTAATATTTTTAAATCACAAGAAAATTAAAGTTTATTAAAAAATATGGTATAGCCCGCCATATTTAAAGTTGAAAAGACTGTATAATTATTATAATCGGGTCATAGTATACGTGTATTATATTATTATTATTAACTAACTATAAAAGTTTGTATTATTATTGAGCTATAGTAAGCACCTACAGGACGATATGAAGTAACGAATATTACGACTGCCTGTTGGCTCAAGTTGCCGTCAAAATCTTTCAAAAACTTCGCAATGTGACGCATCAACATATTGTGTAGAAGTTTTAAAACTAATTTATATATAAGATAATTTCATATTACTCGACAGTGGCGAAAGTACAACTGTACGAGACCAATAGCAAAGAAAAAAAGTATAAATGTATAAAACCGCATTTACACATTCGCGCGAGTATACAATACACCTATGTAACTAGTACGTTACACGCCTACCAGGAATTATACAGATATCCTTATCATTATAATATCAGATACTCTTATCGTTAATTCCAACTTCCAGGAAGCGGTGAATACACGCCGCGACCTCAAACTAGTCAGTGCTTCTTACGAAGCCTGGGTGAACTGAGGAACCTGCGCGTGCTCGCACTGGAGTACGCTCATCTTGCTGACGGTACGGGCACTGCTATTGTCTCCTTGTTACCAGTCATCAAAAGGCCCCACTTTAGACTACAGGTTAGTTTACCAACGGTCGTTAAACTTGAGCTGTTAAATGTCTATTTTTTTTTTATAGAAGTAAACGAGCACAGTCTACCTTGTTTATAGAATAAAGTAAGTATCGAGCACACAGTGCACCTGATGGCAAGTGTTTGCTGTGACTCGTTGACATATACATCTATCCTCGATTAAGAATCGCAATGCAGATGCCATTTCACCCCTGAGAACTAAGATAGAACGCCTCGTTTTCAGTAAAAAGGGTCTCCGGCTCTCTACAATCACCGTACGAAACACAGCAGCATTAAGCTGGTATTTTACGTTGGTATTCTGTGACAGCGTGATTCTACCTAGGTCGAGCCCTACCATGCGTGCCACAATTATAATATAGCTGCTCTGTGGCTTTACCACGTATAGATACTTATGTTAAGAGGATACCCATGCTGCCATAAGAAATACCTTAAGATGATTTTCACGCTGGTATTCTGTGAGAACGTGTTCCTTTCCAATCCCATCCATTCGTGCTACAACCATAATATAGCTGCAGCATGACTTTACCACGTAAAACTGCCTTCGTGATGAAGTTCATGCTGTGGCCCATAGCACCTACATATATCCGCCATTAAGTATCAAATGTAGATGCGTTGTCACCTCTGAGAGCTAGAATTCCCCGTTAGCAGTAAAAGGTGTATTATCGAGTAAGACTTACAATGCAAGTGCGTTCATTCCTACTTGCTTTCACTAAGAGATTGACATCGTTACGAATCCGAATCAAGTTGCGTAGTCAGGTTGCTGAAATCTGAATTTCTGGATATCTGGCTTTTTTAATTTTTTAATTCACAGAATACCATCCTAAATATTTCTGTATTTTGTATGGTGAGTGTAGAGAACCGAAGACATATTTTTACTGGATACGAGGCGTTCCATCTCAATCCTCAGGGTTGACAACGAATCTACATTTGATTCTTCATGGCGGATATAATGTAATAATGCTTCTTAATCGAGGATAACTGTAGATGTGTATGGATCGCTGCGACCTAAGTCGACCTAAGTGCGACCTGTGTAAGTAGTAAGTACCATCAGCTTGACTGTGCGCTCGTTTGTCACCCTTATTCTTAAAAAACCATATCTTTTAATTTTAAAAGCATTTTAACAATTTACACAAGTTTGGAAGCATATTTCAGAGCACTTGGGTCACGGACACTTTTAAATCCACACAAAAAAAATGATAATTATAACACTTGTTATAATCTAAACGTTTTAGCTTATATGCCGCGAGGAGCACACCCCAGGTCGCGCAGACCCATCTCTCGGCGGAGGCGGGAACGGCGTCCCGGATTATGCGTGGCGTCGAGTAGCTATTGCATGCCCTGACCTCTACTTAGTTATGGTCTTTTGTAAGATCCCTACAATTTAATTACAAAACCCTTAGCGCATGTACGTACATAATACTTGTATTTGCCTAGATTGTAGTCAAGTACGGGTGTAAAAACATTAGCTTATAATACGAAAATACATAACGTAGATTGTTATGTAGGATATTCTAAACAAAACCGTATAATTTACTTAAACTAGAATATTCTAAATTATAATAATGTAATGAGTATTAACATTTACACGAATACATTCCAATTTAGTGCTCACGGATGACAATGTATCTGCATCTTATTCGCAAACGAGGATAGATGTAGACGTCTATGGGCCACAGCAACCACTTACCATTAGGTGAACTGTGTGCTCGCTTGTTACCCTTATCCTATAAAAAAATACAACTTATTTAATAAAACATATTTACTATGGCTATAATCGTGTTTATTTGGAATTGTAAGTTTAGTTTAGTCGATTTAGCCATGGTTGCCAAACTTGTTTATAATCCTCTCTCTGATTAAGTATAAGGCGGGAATAAACAAATGAAAAAATAAATATTTTATCGTCGATTTTTTAATCCACACATAAAATTTTTCATAGGATAAAACACAACATAGACAAATTAAAAATTCCGATTGCATGAATGAAATAGCTCAGTTGTTTCACTTTTATATACAGTCAGGCTATAATTTATTAGGTGGATAACCTTTTATCTGACGGTTATAAACTTATCAATAAAATTTTCGTTAAACATATTTTTGTATCTAATGAAAATGCAACTATGAAATGTAACTATTTTATTGTATTGCTTTATTTTTCTCTTGTTTTAGCAAATTAATATGTCTCTGTATTTCGAAGCTTAATATTATGTGTATTGTTTGTAATTTTATTTTGTTTTTTTAAGTTACCTCCACACTAGGATTATCTCATGTATGGAGAGGGCAGTTTACATACAGACAATTTTTTTTTGTATGGAAAATGGGCCCAGCACAAATTGTGGCGTAACTTAATGAAATACATGTCGATTTATTCGATATAACCTACAGATTACAAAAGTAATAAGTATTAGTTTTACAGTATGTAACGGGAATATTGTGAAATTAATAACTATAATATGAATATCACAATAATCTAAAAACAAACTAAAAGTGATTGTCTAGTAGTTTTCACCGGTATAATAAGTTAAAATAGTGCGTGCACTGGTCAATTATTACTGGTATAAAACAAAGTTGTAGGTGCATTTAGCATTTATAAGTACTTTAAGATTGATGGAAAATCCTTTTAATGGTTCATTCTTCGTTACTATAGATAATATACTATATAGAGCATTCTTTACACGCATTTCTTTCATATTACATTAATCAGAACACGAATATCCAAATAACTTTTTTTAGACATTATTCTGGTTAGATTTTCATAAAATCTTTAGGCCGTTTACTATAGTAAACTGGTATCTTTTTATGTGTAATAAAATTAAGTTACGTTTAAACTTCTAGTGGGCTCAAAAACGATTGTCTTCTTTCACAAAAACATACATCCAGACCCGGAACAATTATTTGTAGGCCATATAAATACTTGTACCGTGCGGAATTCGAACCCGTGACTCTTCGTGCTACACCTCGTTGCGCCACGGAGCTGTCTATAATATAATAATTCGGTTATTTTAGTCAAGTTTAGATAAGTAATATATATGATAGTTTATTATTGTTAATTTCAAGCAAGAATTTTCTTCTAAATGATTTACATTGATAAAGTCTAAAATTTCATAAACCACATTCGTAATTTTTGTTGCGAAACACTAACAGATACTACTACAAGCGTACTGTATTCGGATGAAAGATTTGATACTTTTTTTAAACAGAATATGCTTTACACTTGCAGATCGTGTGCGAGATTACGACTTCATACGACGTTTCTTAAGTCCGAGCGTTCCTCTTAAAGAGGTCCATCTGCATCAAGGGATACGGCTGGAAGGTGAAGACTTCGACGCTAGCAGCTTTGTCCGTCTCATCGCTGGACACTTCGCGAGCTCGCTAGGTAAGGAACTATAGTAATGAAATAACGAAAACTTAATTCATTTACTATGTAAGATGTTATGCAAAAAGAATTCAAGTTATATAAACTAATGATTTCTTATATTTACGCGAAGACTACACATTAAATGAAACTATTTTTTACACATTCTATCGCGTATATTTAACTTTTTTTAATTCCCGACGTAAGTCTGCAGTTTGTGAACATTTTCAAGATCGTTCCCGTCATTACATGAGATTTGAAACACCACAAATCCTCGCAAAAGAACACCTATTCCTACCAAGAATGATTCGGGAGGCTATTGAAATTAAAAAAACATCCTAATTTCAATAGAGAAGATGGATGGGTGCTGCCATCTGCTTGCCATCCTATATTTAATAAAATTGAATCAAAACCCAAATATACCACTGCAAGGCTTTAACATACCTCCACCACATATTTCTCCATAGGGGAATATTTACCATAGTTGCCATGCTTGGCAAGCGGGTTGGCAACCGCTGTTTGTTATTTTAGTCATTATTAGGATGACCCTCTTGCCCATCTCCAGAGTTTCCCTCCGCCGCCTCTTATATGTGGTAGTGAATATTCTTACACCGCGAATACACGGTAAATACCTACTATAAGAAGAATTACAAACTAATAGGAAACTTCATTATTATGCATCCGCAGATCTATTATTAAATAAAAAATAAATAATAAAACATAAAAAATATATCAGAAATAACTACATTTAAATCAAGATTCAGTACATATTTAAAACAAAACCCCTTCTACCCAGTGGAAGAGTATTTAGATAAGAATAACACTATTATGTATTTTTATATTTTTTTCTAGCTTTTAATTATATTTTATGTATGTTAATAGTATATAAGCAGTGCCCTTGTCAAATTTGCAGTGCCTGAAAAGAGCGTCTAAGTTGTAAGCACATTTTTTATTTAAGACCAATTATGTACACTTGGATTGCAAATAAATGATTTGATTTGATTTAGTTATTGTTAAAAGATTCTCGCCACGCCATTCCTACATCTCAATGTACGTGGGGCAAGGGTTAACGTTTGTCATATATTTCACATTCACATTATACGTGCAAACCGTTACTGTGTAGTAACGACGCAAGAATAATGTTAACTACCCCCATACCATCCCGTGGGTATCGTAAGAGGCGAAACAGAAAAACGAAAACCGGGTATGGGCAGCAGCATCTTTCTGATAACAACTGAATATAATTAATGTTTCCTATAGTAAGTGTATTTATTTTATCTTATTTTATTTATTAAGATATACAAACAAATATACAAAGGTATTTATAAAAGTATTATCAAAAAATTGTATAATATATATTGATGGTCTAGAAGACAAATCTATAGATAGATTGTGGTTTTTCAGGAGAGCAGTTTATATAACTTTTAAAGCATGACCTGTTAGTATGTATTATTAATAAATTGGTTTAATGTTAATAGCTTGCATTTAAATGGCACTAAAACGAAATGTATGAATTTCAAAACTCCTTGTCAAACAATTAAATACCAATGTAATTTTAAATAGAGAGAAACTGAGTATTGTCGATACCACCATTTTTCTTAGAATAACACTAGACGCGAAGCTTCAATTGAGCTCCCATATATCAAAATTAGTGAGCAGACTTAGATCTGCAGCATATGCTGTAAAAAAACATTAGAAATCTTACCAGTATGGAAACAGCTACACTTGTTTATTTTAGCTATTTCCATAGCATAATGTCGTATGGTATTTTACTATGGGGACACGCGACTAACACTGAAATTATATTTGTTTTACAGAAGAGCAACGTATGATTTAAAACCTAAATAAACGATCCGAGAAAAATATTAACTTTGGGTCTCAGTACATTTATGAAAATGTAATGTACATACACAAAAATAATAGTAGTTATACAAACATAAGTGATATTCTGTAAATACTAGGAACAGACACAAGCTAGTAGTACCAGTTATTCGACTCCACCGAGTCAGTAATTCATTCTTGGGGCGATGTCGCGCTTTTACAACAAAATCCCAGAAAATATACAAAATTTGACCTGCTCAAAGTTCCAAAACATTATTAAACAAAGTTTGTGTAAATAGGGTTATTATAATATTAAGGAATTTATGGATGATAATAACCCCTGGGAATGAGGTGATCGTTTCGAAGCTATTTCTAATTTGTTTTGTGTGGTTAATTGTATAACATACATGATTGTAAGTTGTTATTTAAAAAAAGTCCCGCTGGGTTTCTTGCTGGTTCTTCCCAGGACAGAGGTTTTTTTTTCAAACCAGTGGTAATTAAAAAAAAAGTGTTACTTTCAATAAGTATTATTTATAATCTATATAGTTTCTGTTTCTGTTTCTGTAAAGATGAGTAGTGTAACGTATCTTATACTTCTGCTATTAGTTAAGTATTTATTTGTTATACAATTAATTTTAAAGAATTGTTTTTCACTATAAAAAGTACTGGTATAAAAAATACTAAAAAATTAGATTCACTTAATACTTTTAATCATTATTTTGTTATTCAGTTGTTCACTTAGTGCATTTGTGTATCAATTATTAACTACTTATGAGAAAGTTAAGGTAACTAACAAAAATATTAATATATTTACTTTTATAACATTCTACCTGAATTTCCATGTAAATTAGGTACCAATTTTATGATTTTAGATGTCAATTCCCTATCTTTATAAAACACTTAAAGTTTGTGTGAATTTCAATACTCATAAATAAACTTGCTTAAAGCTACTTAATACATTTTGTAATTTCTATCAATGTTACATAAGCGACTTTGATTCTTTTGTCTCGTGCCTCATATTTCTTATTTGAAATGTACAAGCTTCGATTTGGACCGAAAGTGATGGAATTATGGCTTTCTGATAAGTTCGGAAGATGCGGCCAATTAATTTAAAATGTTTGGCATTATAATGTGTAAACCACAAAATTTTGCATTTAGCACGTTTTTCTTCTAGACCAATGATATGTACATTACAACACCGTACACCAGACATTAGTATAAACAATAAGTAACGAGTTGAAAAGAAAAAGTTACTATCACAAAAAGGTATTAAACAGTACAGTATAGAGAACCGAGACCCTTTTTGCTGGTAACAATGCATCCTTATAAAATGGGTAAAACTACCCGGTTATCATCACATTCCTTCTTACATTGTTCTCGGAAAAAGTCGATCCAGTTTGGGAAGAGGAAACTGGATGATGATTTCGTCATTTTGCCATTAGTACAATCATTATTCAGAGCTGCAGTTGACTGTCTGTCTCGGCTGCCTAGATCTGTCCGGCACAGCTCGACAACGTAATTCTTTAAAAACCAAATCTTCCTCTTCTTGTGGCATGGGTTATTAACATAATAAGTATATATACGTAATAGAGCCACGCTGCAGCTATATTCTGATTGTGGCACGTATGGTTCGACTCGACCGGAGCAACCAGGACCACGCTCTCACAGAATAGCAGCGTGAAATGACAGCTTACTGCTGCTGTGTTTCGTATGTCGTCGTATGAGTGTAGAGAACCGGAGACCCGTTTTACTGGAAACGATCTTAGTTCTCAAGTGTGACGCATCTGCATTTTGATTTTTAATCGTGGATAGAATTAGTAGGCCTCAGCATCCACTTACCATCAGGTGGGCTGTGTGCTGGTTTGTCACCCTTATTCTTTAAGAAAAAGTAATAATGTCGATTGTTTAATGGTATAGTTACACTAAGCATACAGCAGTGGCGTGTAGCAGCGTTCCCGCTGCGTCGCACGCTGGAACTGATGCCGACGCTGGTGCGATTTTGCTACGTGGGTTGTCTGGAGGAAACAGATTTACGGAATATGCTACTACTCGTCGCTTGTGGAGTTTGTCACAGTACATTAATTTTTATATCTATTAATATAGATTTTTTTTCAATACTAGCAATCCGCTCCGGCTTCGCACGGATAATTTCTGGCAACTTGACAACAGCGCCACCTATCGGGTCTTGTTTTGAACTTTGAATCTAAAAAATCCACTCAAAAACACACAAAAAATTTCATCTAAATCGGTCCAGCCGTTTACTTCACTGATCAACACACGAACATAGAATATAACTATAGACAACAGTGATAGATAATTACATAATACTTGCCGAAAGTAAATTTTATAATAATAGTATACAATCATTAATTTAAATCATTATAGAATCATTACTATTATTTAACGTTTTATTAGTTCGACCGTAGGACTTGTGCGAATTTAATAATGAATTTTACACATTTATCGCGTTTAATTTAACTTATTAAATATTATCGACGTTTCCAACGTTTCGACATGCCTGACTACGTTTTTGAAATAAAATAAATTTTAATTTTTTTTTAATAAACCACGTTTTTATCTTATTCTTATAGTGTCATCCGATTCTGAATTATTTTCAAAGTTAGCTCATCGGGAAGTTAGTTTAAAATCAGTTACTAAATTCCACCCGAACAGACCATACACGAATGCGATAGAAACGTGGGAAAAAAAAATAGAAAGCTAGTGTTCAAAATTTAGGATGTATACAAGTAGGTTAGTATTACTCTTATGCGAAACTTTCAAGATAATTGAAAAAAATATCTCAATAACCAGTAGTCTGTCAAAATTAAAAAAAAAAGTAATGCAAAATATTGCACATCTAGGCCCCGGCGAGATTCGAACTCGCGATCTCCTGTTTACTAGACAGGCGCTTTAACCAACTAAGCCACGGCGCCGATGTTTATTATGTTCAATATTTTGTAATGTATCTCAGAATATTACAATATAAAATTACTTTTTATACACTTAAATAACAAATATTGCACATGCAATTCATTAATCTAATATATTAAAAAATTTATATGTTTCTTTGTTCGTATTTTAAACGCTGTCATACTGTTCATCGGATTGCGGTAAAACTTTGTCAACTTATTACTGACACTTGAAGGTTATGGGCATAGTACAATTAACTAACACTAGGTGGTGCGGGTATCGTAACTATATAACTCTTTCAAATTTTACATTAGAATTGTCTATCTAGTTTTTTATTAGTGATCGATGACTGTCACCCTCTTTCAGAATCCTTTAATTCCTGTCTAGGCATGCGCAGTATATGTGACAATTATAGGACTTATCGCGGACAAAGGACTTGCATGTGACTGAAAATATAAGTCAAAATAATAGATTTTAAGAAATTACATTTTATAAAGTAAATACTAATTTCATAAATCGAAGTAATAAATATATTACATATCTTTGCATTCCAACTGCAGGTAGTTTAGGATAAACATACACTGATAATTTAAAATTTTCTACAACCGACTTCAATATAAATTATTAAGAATAACTCAAAAACTATTGGTCAGATCTTAATCAAATTTATATGGGACCACATGTGAAGCACCAGCTTTCAAATAAAGAAAAAGAGTCATCGAAATTGGTTCACCCAGTAAAAAGTTATGAGGTAACACACATAAAAGAAACATACAGTCGAATTGTGTACCGTCTCCTTTTTGAAGTCAGTAGAAAATATTAAGTCAACATAAAGTTAAAAGCATTCTCTATTCTTATACTCTTATAGTCTAATGGGGGGGGGGGGCAATCCGACACGACCTCAGTGAGATCGGGCGCAGAACCAACGGCTTTACGTGCCTTCCGAAGCACTGTGGTGTGAAACACCGTCCACCTGATGGTAAGTGGTTGCTGTGGCCCATAGACATCTACATCCATACGAAACACATCAGCGTTAAGCTACTATTTTACGCTGGTATTCTGTGAGAGCGTGATCCTTCCCCGGTCGAGCCAACCCATTCGTGCTACAACCATAATATAGCTGCAGCATGGCTCTACCACGTATAAACACAGCATCACCAGCCTGTGACAATAGAAAAGTATAAAATACTTGCCACTCAATATTATAGATTATTACGTTATACTTATTGGGGGTTAATTTACTCTTACTTACTTATCTTCACGCACAATCCCTGACGGGGTAGCCAGAGAGAACAGATCGCCAAGTGTCACGATCGTTACATACCTCTTTCGCTTCTTTCAGATTCATTATCTTCTTCATACATGAATCGAATCGAAGCACGTCCTTATCAATTTTTGTGATAAGGTCATCTTTCAAACCTGCCATATTGCGAATCTCTTCGTTTCGCTTTCGATCGGCTATGGTAACGCCGCACATTTTACGAAGAGATCGCATCTCAACTGCATTCAACTTGCTTTTGTGCTTCTTCTGACATACCCAGGTTTCGCTGCCATATAACGAAGTCTTACTCTTGGTTTGGAAAATACCTCTGTCTGTATATTAACCAGCAAGAAACCCAGATTATATTTCAAACATAAGATTTAACAATAACGGTATACAATTATTATTTATACAATTTATATAGAAGCAGTATGATATCGGTCAACTTATTTCCAGATGTTCTTTTCGTTCATTTAGACATTACAAATTATAATAACCATTTATAACACATTTTTTATACCGTTTGTTCGGTAGGATACTAACTTTTTTACAGCGATATAATTTATTAAAAACTTTACAGTCGAAGAGGCACGGTGCACATTATGGTTGTAGTTCGAATGAGTCGGCTCGGGGACCATGCTCTCACAGAATACGAGCGTAAAATCGTGAGTGTAGGGAATTGCAGAGCCCTCTTACTGGTAATGAGCCATTTTGTCTGTCTTTTTGCCCGTCCGAGCTGATCTTCTGAATGGCTGAACTTATGATAATGAAACTTCACAAACAAATAGAGAGCAATGCATGAACTGATCCCGGCTATCATCATTATCATCATCATTACAGCCCTTCATAAGTACACAGCTGAACACAGGCCTCCTCCAAGGAATGCCACAAAGCACGGTCGCTCGTCACTCCATCTAGCGAGGCAACGCCCTACACTGCGCCTACCGGTACGAGGCTGCCACTCGAGAACCTTTCTTCCCCATCGGTTGTCGGTTCTTCGAGATATATGGCCGGCCACTTCAGCATACTGATTCTTTGGGTTATGTCGGTTACTCTGGTTATACTGCGGATGTCCCCGTTTTTAAGTCTATCACGCAGAGAAACGCCGACCATAGTCCTCTCCGTACCTCGCTGAACGACTTTGAGCTTCCTCATACGGCCAGCAGTTACGGAGGATCTAGGCTATATTTTATTGAAAAGACTTGGAGACTTTTTATTAAACCGAAAAATTGATAAAAGAAATGATCTCTTACTGAAATCTTAATAACACCACATTAATCTACACTACCCAGACGAAGCCGGGGCGGGACGCTAGTTGTATTATATATTTGTATGTATTATGTATTTGTGTAATTATGTTTATAATATGTATTTAAGTAGGTACGTAGTTATAGTTGTTATGCATATATTCAATTTAAATATTTTTAACATAGTTATTTTTACTTTGCACCGATAATATAATTTCTGCTTACACTGAATATAGACTGGTAGGGTATTAAGTCCACCTTTTTGTAATTAGTAATAATAATAAATAATAATAGTAATCTCTATTAAAACTTATAAAAGGTACAAACGATTTTACGCAGATTTTTCATAATATTATTATTATCATAAAGCCATTTATTTCCTTAAGAATATTTAAATACATTTCATTAATTATTAATTTCATTTAATAATTTAAAATTAGTAACAATGTTATAACATAAGTTCATGAAAGATAATTCTAACTTACTAATTTTTACGTGGTAGAGCCATGCTGCAGCTATATTATTAGTATAGTTGTAGCACGAATGGGTCGGCTCGACCGGGGAAGGACCACGCTCTCACAGAATACCAGCGTAAAATAGCAGCTTAACACTGCTGTGTTTCGTATGGTGAGTGTAGAGAACCGGAGACCCTTTTTACTGGAAAAGAGTCATTCCATCTTGTCCTCACGGGCGACAACGCATCTGCATTTTGATTCTTTATTGAGGATAGATGTGGATCTATGGGTCACAGCAACCACTTACCATCAGGTGGACTGTGTGCTCGTTTGTCACCCTATCCTATAAAATAAAACTAAATTACTATGTACTTTTAGACACATAATTAATGAATTGTTATTTATCTAATTGTTGTTAAGGACCTCTCTACGAGTATAAGCCTCCTCCAAATTTTTCCATTTTTTCCCTATCCTTGACCATTTAAATCCAATCGTCTCCAGCAAATCTTTCAATTTCATTGTAATATGGTCACCTTAAGCTTTGCCACCTTATAAAACCGAAACTAGGAGGAGGACAGAGACAAAAACACAAAGTCGTGTACTATAATTAATATATTAAGAAAAAATAGCAAACAAGCTTTTTCAATAATTAAGAACACTTCGAAAAATCAACTTAAATAAAGTAACTACACTACACAATACTAAAATTTACTATAATATCAGTTGTCAAAATGGCGTCGATAAAGCAGCGCCCTTTTGATCCTTTATTATTTGATTGACTGATGAAGAGTTATCTTGTTATATGAATCACAGAGTCACCTATCCAAATGAGTCTGTGGATTTTGAGTTGTAAGATAGTGACCATATTACCTTCACGTACTCTATTAGTAGTCTATTAATATAGCCTCAATAAATAAATACATAACTACACTAGTTTCAAGGAACATGTTCCTTATTTCGTATAATCGGTTTCCCGAAAGCAGAACGCAGTAATAATACCAATCTTAAGATATTTTAATAATTTAATTTGTTTTACAGAACTTAAACAATTGAATGTGCAAGTACAAGACAATGAGTCGAAGCGAGAATACTGGAAGGGAGTTGTAAAGAGTATTTCCGATGAGTTCGCTGACGTCATGAAACTTTTCGATGTAGATTTATCTTTGAAAATATACAAATGTTGATGATAAATGTGGCATTTTTTTTATAATTGTTACTATCGTATATAGGAAGCAACCTTTACCAAGAAGTGACGATATATTAAAGACACATTTAATTATAACAATGTTCTCCATTCTGTATTTCGGTCACGACGACCATACTCAACGCAGACGAGCTATCTGCGCAAGACAGGATGTGAGCGTAAACACAGGTGCACTCTTTTCTATTCCCTCACTCCGGCAATCCGACATGACCGGAGAGAGATCAGGTGCAGAACCAACAGCTTTGCGTGCTTCCCGAAGCACGGGGCCAGAGCAACGCCAAGTTCTTGAATCCGGGTTGCTACCAAGATTTTGTTGACAGTAAACCCCAATAAGTTATTTTAGCCCGACCCGGGACTCACCCATAACCTGATAATCAGTAGTCGCGCTTACACTGCACCATGAGACTAGTGCGGAAGTCAAATAGAAAATCATTTACTAGTGGTTTAAGCACGACTTATTACTGGCTTATGATAGTTTAAGAGCCAGTGAGCGGCAGACTTACGGTATTTCAATAAGCTTCACGTTTTCTTTCAGTTAATCCCCTATACCTGAGGTTCATGAAACGGGAACTCTTCAGTTTCACCGGCGGTTGATATAGAGACGCTCAGGTGTGAAAGGTGTAACACAATGACCGAAAAAAACGTGAAAGTAATAAGTCTGCCGCTTTGACATCTTGAAATGTTCAATAAAAGTTACTGGAAAATAGGTACAGGTAACTTTTATTGAATATTACAAGATATCAAAGAAGATATTCACGTTATTTTTCGGTCATTTTTTTACACCTTTCACGTTTCTATATCGACCGACGGTCGACTAAAGACTCTCCATTTCGTGTAACTAAGGTATAGGGTCAATCTTATTGAAATACCGTAAGTATTCTGCCGCTCACTTAGACCATTAATATTAAACAAAAAAATAAAAATTAATAAAAACAGAATTACACTATATCCTAAGCCTAAAACTCGCCACTTACATACGGAATTCCGTTTCTAACTTCGATTCGAGATTCCGAACGCAGCAAGTTCATAATATAAAATCTACGACCCGTCACACTCGTACGGTAGTCCGTTCAAAATTTTGTAGGCAAGATGGAATTCCGTATGTATGTGACCGGTCTAATAGGATTATTTTTCTATATACAATATAAGACCACCAAATGGACCGTCCTCAGTTCTCAGTAGGGACGTACGATACATAATTTCGCCGATACAAGTCCCGATACCGTTTATTGTAGCTACTAAATAGTTGTCTTAGTTCTCAGGGTTGACAACGCATCGGCATTTTGATTCTTAATCGAAGATATACATACATATACATATACTGTGTGCTCGTTTGTCACACTTATTCTATGAAAAAAAAATATAATAATATAATTCACGGTAATGTTCTTATTTCTATCTGTGTAATCCTGCCTGACGGCGAGGTTGACATATTTTGTACGTGGCAGAGCCACGCTGCAGCTATATTAATTGTATAATGATAGCACGAATGGGTCCGAAAAATGGGCACGCTAATACACCTGGTCTTGGTCGTGGTCTTGGTCTTGGCCTTGATATTGAGCTCCCAGTCTTGGTCTTGGTCTTGCAGCAAGAGTCTCGCAAGTCCCGCAATTACCTATTAGCCTATTGCTATTTATTTACGTTACTTTAGATCATAGAACAACTTTACAGAGTAGGTACATATTGAGCTTGAATTAACATAGCCATATTAAAGACCAACCAAATTAATAAATGTCTAAACAATCTAGATTGCCTTATAGGGAGTTGTTATTAGAAAGATGCACCTGTTTCAGTTTCCCTCTGTCACCTCTTACGAGAGAGCAACTAGACGATTTCAGTAACGGTTGCTAAACAATCGGCGATCCCGATATATCGTCCAGCCGATTTTATCGACGGCAACCTCAGTATGCACCGATGTTTCTGGTCCGGCTCACACCTCGGACTACTGTGAGCGCAAATGTCCGTCTATTTTTAAATTTGTTTTTCTTAACGATTGCATCAAATTTGATCATTTATAAAAATAGTACAGAACATTGTCTTAAGTCTCTGCTTCTAATTCGCAAGAAGATATTATGCAACCTTAGAAAAGTATTGGAGACCATAGGCATCTTTTTATAAATGTTAGGATTGTAAATAGGAAGCAACGTTTACCAACAAGTGACGATATATTAAAGACATATTTAATAATAATAATAATGTCCTGCAGACCGAATTTTGGTTACGACGACCAGACACAATGGAAACTAGCCGTCCTTGCAGGACAGGATTATAGTGTCCAAGTGTAAGCGCAAATACATTTTTACTCTTCTCACTCTCATAGTCCGATGGGACCTATGACCGGAGAGAGATAAGGCGCAGAACCAACGGCTTTACGTGCTTTCCAAGGCAAGGATGTGGTGCACCGCTAACTTACTGACTCCGGGCTGCTAGTGAGATGGAACGAGTTACGGGTTACTTTAACGGAAATAGGCTACTGAAAAACAGCGCTACTTCGCCTCGTAGAGGTAGGAATCCGTGTGTGATTCCAAACAAAATCAAAAATAAATTATATTTATATAATGATTTCTTATATTTACGCGAACACTACACTGTTGTTATAGTTATTGTTGTTGTTGTTACAAGTTAATTAAACGTGACAGAATCCGTAAAAGTAGTTGTATTTATATTTGTTTTGTTTAAACATTACCACTACACTAGGGTTTTCTCCTGCATCGTGGAGGTAATTTACAAACATAAATTGCACGAGGACAAACGTCCAGACCCGGAACAATTATTTGTAGGCCATACAAATACTTATTCCGTGTGAGATTCGAACCCGCGGCCCCCAGCGCAACAACTCACTGCTAAGCCACTGCGCCACGGAGCCGTCAATCCATCATCATCATAACGGCCCTTCCTATATTATATTAGTTCGGCCATTGCTGAATATAGGCCTTCTCCATAGATTTCCAAAGGGTCCACTTTTGAACACTTATAACTACGGTTTTTGTAGTTGTTATTTACATTATTTTTTTAATGAACTGACAAAAACAAACTAACATGGGGCAATGGGCAACGGTCCTGACTTACAGCTTGAGGAAACGACAATCAATGGAGAAGAAAAGTGTTCAAGTGGCAGCCTCGTAACGGTTAGCGAAGTGTAGGGCGGTCCCCCATTAGATAGAGTGACGACCTGCTAAGAGATGTAGGGAGTCGGTGGATGCAGGTGGCTCAAGACCGAGCTTTATGGCATTCCTTGAATGGACGGGGAGAGAGGGATTATTTGAGCCTCAGCAGTGAACTTGTGATGATGATGAAAACAATGTTAATTTGTTATAAAAAAGGCACTTGCCTATCAGCGTCGCAATTACAAATGGTTACAGTCCATGTACATAATACAAACACACATACAAACACACACACATGTACAAATTCAAACAAAGAAGGCTACAGTTACGTAGTGAAGACTAAGATGGAAGGCTTTGCAGCTTGTAACTGTATAGTATACCCTTTAGACCGGAACACATAAATGCAGGCACTGCTACGTACTTCGACGTACTTGGCAGATAAGGAATTTCTACTTTTATAGACCATCTTTTATAGTCCTCTCCATATTATACGTTTTGAACTTATGAAGATCACTCATTTGTCAAAGGTATTAAATAGTTTCTTAGACAAATATTTGTTTTTATATAATCACGCCTCTTTCCCGTAGGGGTAGGCAGAGACCACTTCTTTTCACTTGCTACGATCCTTACATACTTGTTTCGCTTCGTCCACTTTTTATCTAATTTAAATACAATTATCTAAAAATAAATTGTAATATTACTGTAGATGGGGGATTAAAAGAGTAATCCCGTTCTGTATTATTTGCATTATGTAAATTTGTTTGTAATCGCGTTCCCGAAAACGCCTCTAATGATTTCGATGTTCTGCGCCCCCTTTTCCCTTAAGGGAGTCGCTTCCGATTCGGCAGAAAGGCCACAGAATCCAATGCCAGTCGCACAGGTGGTGTTTAGTGGGTAAGCACTTAGGTTTCGCAGTGAGTCCCTCATAACCACGCAGCCAGCTGTCGTGGTATGTTTAGAGCATTCACCACCTCCCTCCCCCGCTTCCCGGAGAGTAGTCCTTTTTATTGCTTCTGGGCGCAAAACAAAAGATTTCGATAAACTTTACAATATAGAGGTTTACAAGGGCAAGAAATCAATCCAGCTAGGTGAAGCATGACAATATATAACGTATTGGTAAAACACTCGCATTAAACTGCTAAAACGAACAGACGTGTATCCTTTAGTATAGCAATAGTGTTTTTATTAGCGATAAACAAAGACACCTGCTGATAAGGTAGTAAGTGAATACAGCAACCCACGGACATCTGCAACCAATTTCAAACAATACTATAATGTTTCACCGGTTTGTTTTCACAGTCATAATAGAAAATGTTTGGAATATACTGTTTCAATCAAGTCAAACTTTTATTTTAAAAAATAACAATACTAAACTGAAATAACGCCTCAAAGCACTCTAAGAACCACCTCTATAATGTAATAAAGATTGCATCGATTACTTTAAGTTTTTACTGGAAACGAGGCAACGTACGTATGCCATAACGCTAATTTGGCCTTCTCTTTCAAGTGACCACGAAACTGCACGTCACTAAATATGTTGACATGTACTCAGCGACGTTTTCCCGAGAAATATTAGCACGGCCGGTGTGCGGGTGACGACCAGTGCTGTCATCCGCATAGCAATGAATGTTACCGGTTTGCAACACATCATTGATATGCAAAAGAAACAGCGTTTGTGACATGCAGCCTTGTGGAACACCAGCGTTAATAGTCTTGTAATCGGAACATGCACCGTCTACTACGACCTTGATGCTCCGATCAGCCAGAAAACTGGTAATCCAATTGCACAATTTCTCGGGAACTCCATAGGGAGGAAGCTGCGAAAGAAGCGCTTTGTGCCAGACCCGATCGAAGGCCTTTGCTATATCCAAACTAACGGAAAATGCCTCAATCTTGGACTTAATCGCCTGCGCCCATCTATGTGTTAGGTAAACAAGAAGATCACCAGCTGAGCGACCCCGACGGAAACCGTACTGGCGGTCAATAATCAGCTGATGATCTTCAAGGTACCGCATGAGCTGGCAGTTAATAATGGACTCCATTATTTTAGAGAACAAGAAGGTGACGGCAATAGGCCTATAGTTGGACGGGTCAGAGCGGTTACCTTTTTTGGGGATCGGGTGCACGAAAGGTGTCTTCTATGAATTCGGAGCAACGCCTAGGGAGTAGGAGTACCAGAAAAGACGCGTTAGAATCGGTGCCAACTGTGGAGCGCACGTCCTCAGCACAATTGGCGGGATTCCATCAGGCCCACTTGACTTCTGGATGTCCAGAGTAATAGTGCTTTGCGTACTGAGCACTGTGTGAATCGCACATCAGGCATAGAGCAGTCACACTGTGGGATGGACGGCGGTGTGTTGCTTCCATTATCAAGAGTCGAGTTGTATGCAAAAAGGGAGCCTAATAGGTCGTTTCTCTTTTGCGGCGTGAACCATTGAGTCATCCTCCTTGTGCAGAGATAGTAGTGATGGCTTACAGAAATTCCCTTGAACAGCCTTGGCAAGAGACCAGAATGCAAGGGTTCCCGAAGGAAGGCGAACTAGTTTCTCGCCAATTCTGCCAATGTGCTCATATTTTGCCGTGGCAATAACATTTTTGAAGGACCTGAAGGCAAAGTTATACTTCTTTTTAAGCATGCTAGTGCTTACATCCCGAGCCACCGAAGCCTCAGCCCAGGCCTGATAACACTCCTGCTTACTGCGTAATGTAATTTTACAGGAGCGGCCAAACCAAGGCTGAGATCTGCCTCCGATGGGTACCACAGATGATGGAACAAATAGTTCCATACCCTGTAGCACCATATCAGTGACAGAGTCAGCAACAGTATTGGGATCATCCGGCGAGAAGCAAAAAAAGCCCCCATGGGTAGGATGCAAAGAAAGACCACATTCCGTCCCAATCCGCCGACCTGTAATGCCAAATACGGCGGCAGACTGCAGAACGCAACCGCGAGGAGAGCGTGAGTGGCAACACACTCTGGATCAGACAATGATCCGAAGAGCCGAGAGGGGCATCGATGGAAACCTGATATACGTCCGGGTGAGAGGTCAGCAGAATGTCCAACAGGGAAGGTGTATGATCTTCCACATCTGGAATCCACGTAGGCAAAGTAACCAGTTGTGTCAGATCATATGTCAAGGCAAAGTCATAAACAGATCTCCCCACATGATCGGTTAAACGTGAACCGAGCCATTCGGCGTGGTGGGCATTAAAATCGCTAGGTGGCACTATCTCTACTGATGGAATCTGTTGTAGCAAGAAACCTGTAGCCATTTGGACGTGGTCAGTGAGTCGGTCTGTGTCGGCATTACCGCTATGGGATCTATACAGGCACCCATAGACGCGGGGATGGTCGTCGCTGTCTACGCGCAGCCAAAGGATGGACAGGTCCGTACCTTCAAGACTGACGTGGCATCGAGAATAGATATTCTCTCTGACGTATACGTAAACGTAACTCCAGCTCCCGTACAAATTAGAACTCTTCTTTTTGCCCCGGCACAAAAAAGTGCTCTAATTTGTACCCCGAGTATGACAGGAACGAAGTATCAGCCGGAGAGGACACCTGGGTCTCGGTCAAAAAGAGCAAGGCCGGCTTCGCTGCCTCTAGATGGTAGTGGACGGCGTTCGAAGGTTCGAGTGAAGTCCCCTGATGTTGCAGAAGTCCACGGATAGCGTGGCAGGGGCCGCCATGGTTTTATCGATCTGTTTGCCCCATGCAGTGTTAGTATAGAGCGGGATTTGACCCTCCCCAGAATACGAGGGACATCCTGAGAATTCACGCTCAGGAAGAAGAAGGTAGCTTGACCGTCGATGCTCAGTGAGGGATTCTCCATTACCAGGGGTGCTGGTACTTTCCTGGGGTAGTCTTTTCTTTTTGAATTCCACTACCATGTTCGGGGGGGGGGGGGCGTCCGGCCACCTGCACTAATCAAGCGAAATGCAGTAGCAAAGCTTCTACTTTACGTTGGTATTCTGTGAGGTCTTGGTACTGCCCCGGTTCGAGCCAGCCCATCCGCAGACAGCAGCTACAACAAAAGCTGCAGCGTGGCTCTACCACTGTTAAATTATTATGAGTTCAAAATCAGTGTGGATGTGCAGAGGTGTCACAACTTAAAATGATAATAACTATAATATAAACGCCGCACAACTCTTTACAACTACACACTTGGGAATATGGTTCGGAGCGAACCAAACCCGTGGTCCGGTGCTAAATCCGTATGTTTGGTAGGAGTTATAATTCCTCCTGCTGTAAAAAAAAATAAGTTAAAGTACATTCGTTGGCAATATTATAGTAAGTAAAACCAGGTTTACGCGCCAACCTCGGCACACCCCGATGAGGAGGTGGAGGAAATATATGAGGATATCTCTAGAGCCATGCATTCTTCCAAAACACAATATACGGTGTTAATGGGAGACTTCAATGCAAAACTAGGCACAAGAGAGAATGGTAAGCTGAAAGTAGGGAAATTTGGAATAGGGCAACGGAACCCAAGGGGCCAGCAGCTGACTGATTTCATGGAGAAAGAGGGACTCTTTATGATGAACTCTTTTTTCCAGAAGCGGCCCCACAGGAAGTGGACCTGGTCTATTCACCCCGACACTGCGTATACACATACAAACATGCAGGACTTTGCGTGCTAGGACTGGGTTGCCCACCCTATTATTTATTATAGTAACTTACTTTACTACATGTAACAAAAACCTTGTGGTTACTGTTAAGTGAGACATCAACATCAGTATTTAAATGCTATATGCAATAGCTTCTAAACTCGACCATAAAATAAATTTAATTTAATTTAAATATATTTTTTTTTCTAATTGTTTGTGGTTTTATTACCTCTACATTGGGCAGGCAGTAAAAGTATTCTCAATACCCCGCTTAACCGATGCGCGTGTCATTTAGAGGTAATAAAACCATAACATACAATTTACAAATAAAAATAATCAAACATAAATGGCACAAGAACAAACATCTAGATCTGGAATAGTATTCGTATGCCAATCCAATACTTGTTCTGTGTGGGAGCCGTCAAATACTTCGTCGTTACACAAGTCCACAAGTCCAATGCTGAAAATAGGCCTTCCCAAGCAATACAGGAAAACATGCTCTTATGTCACCGGCATGACTTACAAAACTCTCACTAAGTATATCTATTAGAACATTCTTTCATTCATAGATTGCTACATTAACATAATATATAAAATAAAATATAAGAATATCAATTATTGTTTACAAATCGTTTTTTGCCCCGATTATCTTAAAGTAGCAAAAGTAAGTCTAATTTATAAGTCAGGAAAAAAGACCGACCCATAAAATTATCGCCCTATCTCAGTCCTACCAATAATCTCTAAAATTTACGAGAAAATTTTATATAACCGCTTAAATAATTATCTTAAAACTATTAACGTCTTTTCAAATAATCAGGTTTTCGTACAAAATCGAATACATTTGCTGCAACAATCGACCTGGTGACAAAGCTGAAAAATAATATTGATAAAAAACGCGCAGCACTCGGTATATTTATCGATCTGAAAAAGGCATTTGATACAATTAGCCATAGTTAGCTTCTCCAAAAACTATATGATATCGGCGTCAGGGAAACACCCCACGATATGTTTCGGTCGTATCTCTCTAACAGACAGCAAATTGTCAGGACACACTAAGTATCTTATCTTTTTGTGTCATTTATCTAATCTTTAACCTACGGCGTACCACAAGGCTCTATTCATGGCCCCTTACTGTTCATAATATTCGTAAACGATATGCATAACCTTAACCTAACAGGTGATAAAATAATATATGCTGACGTTTGACATTAAACGAGCACAGCAAGATTTGGACACACTCTCTAGATGGTTCCAAGACAATTTGCTTACTGTTAATATATCTAAAACGAATTAGATTATTTTCAGTGCTAGGAATAAAAAAACCGAAAATCACTCATCTCTATGCATAAATAATGAACCCTTAACTAAAGCTAGTTCAGAAAAGTATCTTGAACTAAATAAACATCTAACGGGACATCCGCACCTAGATAAATTAAGATCTAAGCTGTCTTCTATCATGGGTGCGCTTCCGTAATATTCGCTGTCTGCCGAAATCAGTGATATATATTATATACAACACTATGATAAAACCTCATCTAGACTACCTTATACAGGTGTGGGGTTCTGGAGTTAAAACAACTTTAAAGTAAATCGAAACATGTCAAAAAAGTAATTAAACTACTATTCCATTATCACTATCTAACTCCTACCGAAAAAAATTACAAAGAAACTAAATTGATGACACTATACCAGATTTATAAATATAATACATGCATATTAGTACATAAACTATTAAATAAAAACTCAGTCTAAAATAACGTTTATAAAGAAAGGACAAATACAAAAACGTGTCACTAGACGAAAAAATAACATTTGCTTAAGACAACCACGAACTAACTACGGAAAGAAAAACATATTACACGAAAGAGCAGAGTTATATAATAAATTGTCTAATAACATAAAAGAGATCCAATCGTTAACTTTATATAAAAAAAAAACATTAAATCTTTAAAGATTAATTATTCTCGATTTTAAGCCAATATTACCTCATTTAATGTAATTTCGTTAGTAGATAGATGTAGATGTCTATGGGTCACAGTAACCACTTACCATCAGGTGGACTGTGTGCTCGTTTGTCACCCGATCCTATAAAAAAAAATATAAAATATATTTAACTAAAATATTATACTATTTGTAAACATTTAACATAAAATATAAATATAATTATAAATTGCTTGCATATGTAATTGCTATAAACTTGCTGTCAATGACGATATGTAATTGTACACTTACTTTTCTTATTACCCTACACATTGCAAGAAGATTGTGCATGTCCAGGCAAATAATAGATCATTTACGAGTACCTGCCGTTTTTCATATGTTCATGTATATAATATCTAACATTGATTGTTATTTCTCATGATAAGTGAATTGTATTCTGCTAGCTGGCCAGGCAGACGTTATCTGCCCTTTCCGACAACCATGTGTCCAAAAAAAATCATTAAATTCACAATAAAATTGAGGGTCACTTATCGGGATAAAAACTATCATATCTCTTAAGTTTTTTCATTGAAATCAGTTCAGTAGTTTAGGAGTTCATCGCGGACAAACAATGTGACACGTAATTTTTATATATAAAGACTAGCTCGCCAGGCAGACGTTGTTCTGCCCATACCGACGACCCTCTGTCCTATTAATAAATCCATAAATTCGCAATAAAAAAGTTTGAGGGTCATTTATCGGAATAAAAACAATCCTATCTCCCAAGTTGGACCAAAATGCACACAGTGTGCAAAATTTCATTGAAATCAGTTCAGTAGTTTAGGAGTCCATCGCGAACAAACAACGTGACACGTAATTTTTATATATAAAGAAGATATTTTTTTGAATGATGGCAACTCTAGCTAGGACGTTTGTACACAGCATAATATGCTGCCAAATTCTCTATAATATCACAATTGCAATTTCATAATCAAAATAACTTAATTTATCTTTTAACTATACTATCTTGAATTCAATCTATTATGACGCTTGCGTAATCTAACCACTGAAAGCTATTTTCAAATAACTTCTTCAATTTGACCGCGTATTGATTAAATTAATATGTAGGAACCATATTAAGTATTTGGAACTAAGGTCCTATCAACGTCTTTCAGTGCTAATCTAGATACAGATTAACATTGAGAGAGGGCGCCTAAATAAATTCACGTACCATATAATACCTGGAAAATTATATCGTTGACTCATAAACAACATTTCTATTAACAATATAATTCATTCTTTTGTTTCTTCTATACAGACTTTTTATACGTAAATTATTATAAAATTTTGACCCAATCATGTTTAAGTAATGTTTGTATTGCGCACTGAAAAGCTCGGTCAACGATGTGAAAATTGAGTAAGCCTTCCCGCGAAAAAGATATGAAAAAACAAGTTAGTACAGTGAGGGAAAAACGGATCGATGTTTTGTAGCGGCCAGTTCGGTGTACATGTTTTCAAATAAGAAGGTTCATGTTTTATATTTTCATATAATAATTACATTATCACTCAGTAGTTTTAATTCATGTTTTGTTATATAAGACGCAATATTCACATAAAAATGTAATGCACAATCGATGATGCACATGTATCCACACAATATTAAGATGCATGCTAGTCTGTTGCTAGCTTTCACATAAATTACGAGGAATTTCTTGGACTTTTGATTTTAAAGGATAAGATGTAATGGAGTTATACAAAATTTTAGAACAAGGGCGCCGTGGCTTAATTGGTTAAAGCACCTGTCTAGTAAACAGGAGATTGCGGGTTCGAATCCCGCCGGTGCCTAATAATACTTTTTTATTTCTCGTTTTTTTAAATATCGTTATGGAGAAATGAATTTTTTTCTTAATAACTTTCAAGGACTTAAAAATGAAAAATTTGCACTATAGCCCATCACAAGTCCACTGCTGAGCAAAGGCTTTGCCCATAAATTGTACGGTCCTGATCCACCTGCATCCATCAACCTTCAGTTTTCACCAGTTCGTCATTCCATGTTGTAGGGAGGGCCCAACACTGCGCTTTTCTGTACGTGGCTGCCACTCGAGATCCTTATTACTTCTCCATCGGTTATTACTTCTTTGAACTATTTGGCCGGCCCACTACCACTTCACCTTACTGACATACTAGGCTATGTCATTCCTCTTGTTATTCAGCTAACATACTCGTCACGAATTTTATCTCCGAGAGAAATTCCGAGCATAGTCCCCCATCGCGAAACAGCTAGACTAGTTTACTTCAGCTACTTCCATAGCATAATGTCGTATGGTATTTTGCTATGGGGACACGCAGCTGACACAGAAATTATATTTGTTTTGCAGAAGAGGGCCATAAGAGCAATTTATGATTTAAAGCCTAAAGAGTCGCTGCGACAAAAATTTAAGGAAATTAATATATTAACTTTGGCCTCTCAATACATTTATGAAAATTTAATGTACGTACACAAAAATAAAAGTAGTTTTATAAAAATAAGTGATATTCATTCTGTAAATACTAGGAACAGACACAAGCTAGTAGTACCAGTTACTCGACTC